CAGGCCAGGCCATGAAGTGATTTTTTTGTTTGTTTCATTTTAAGTAGTGTAATCAGAAGTTTTCACATAAAAATCTGAATTTCTGGCTACTTTTTGGAGTGGGGTGCCATTGCCTTCTCCAAACATAGAATATTTAGTATAAGATAAATGGGAATGAGAACCTAATCTGCCTTTTCTTAACTAAACCATCACCCAACAAAACTACAGTTATCCCATTCCAAAAATAAATTCCAAGGAAGAAATTCTGTACATGGAAACAAGAAAGCACTGGAAGTGAGAGGGGAAGGCAGTCCTAGAAAGGTTGATTTCAGTGATACCAGCTCTGGTCTTGCAGTTACAGCAAGAGGTTTGAAATTTATCCATTGCAGTTAGCAGATATTTGTGACTCTTATTAAGGCTTCAGGCTAGGAGACTCTGTTGATTCTTACTTCCTCACTCAGGTCAGATGGTTGAGACTCAAAGGCAGGAAGAAAAAGAGCAAGGATGATGGGTAGTGGTGATCAGAACTGCTCATATTGTAGTTCCTCTCCCACTTTATCCTCTAATGTGGGAAGTACAAACAGAGGACTATTGCCAACTTGTAGAGCCCACAGAGTTGACTAGAGCTTCAGGGGAGGCACAGGCCAGGATTTGAATCCTGACTGTATGACGCCACAGTCAACACATCCTAACACTATGCCAAGGAAGGAGGATTTACCATGAAGTTAACAAACTTTAACCTTCAGGACCACTTCCTTGCACAACCCTTTTCAAGGCTCTGGGCGAGGCCTTAGCAATGTGCTCATATGGTCATTATAAAATTCCATAAGTAAAGTATTCTCGTAGCAATGATTAAGGTCCCTGTATCCTTTCACTCAGACTCTCTCCCCAATACCTTCCCCCTGTTAGACATTCCTGGGATCTGCCAAGAGGAAGTCAAGTTGGGATACAAATATTTTGAGTTGTATTTATGTGGAACACAGTCATTTTCACTTAGAGTCATTGCCACGCATGTAAATGTAGAAATGGCTTTCAAGAATATCTCTATTACCTGCTATGTAGACTCATTTGGCGTTATGGCCCATAGTCGTAGGACCAGAGGTCACATCTTGATATAAGTGGCATGTAGATTGTGGAGGAGAGACAGGTTTAAAAGTTATGTAATCAGAAATTAATTTTTGAAAAATCTTCCAATCATTATATGTGAAAAATTTTTAATGGAGGATTCAGTTATCACTGACATGTGATACAATAGCAAGCATTCAAGATAATAAGGTCTGTCTCCTGTTATTCACACCCCACTCCCCTCCCACATTATGTCAGTGTTGATCAATAGAATACAGAAGAGGTGATGGCATGTCATTTCCAAGGCTAGGTCAGGAAACCCATTGCAGCTTACACCTTCCGTCTCGGTCTCCTTCCTTCTCGCCTTCTTTCTCTCTCCCTCAGGAAGGAACCAGAAGCCCATAAGATGCGCTGCCTTGGGGAGAGGTCCACATGGTGAGAAACTGAGGTCCCCTGCTAACTGTTACATGAGAGGACTTTGACATGGATCCTCTAGCCTCAGTCAGGTCTTCAGATGACTTGTGGAGATGGCCAACACATCGCTCACCACTTTGTGAGGGAACCTGAGCCAGAGCCATCCAGCTAAACTGCTCCTGAGCTCCTGACCCACAGAAGCCATGGGGTGAGAAGTGTTTGTTGTTTTAAGTCAGTAAATTTAGGGATAACATATACAGCAATAGATAATATATCTACCAAAAATGATTGTTCTCTCTTAGCCAAGAATACATTAAATAATTCAATATTAACTCTACAAAGTTTTAGTGCTTATATATGTAAGAAACTTGATAGAAGTTTCCCTAAATTTGACAACAATCTAAAATTGTCACCAATTCTACCAGTAAGTTGTGAAATAAACTTTTCTAAACTACCATGGGTAAAACTATTTTTATTAAAAATGCCAGGGTGAGGGCTCCCTGGTGGCACAGTAGATGAGACCTCATCTGTCAATGCAGGGAACAGGTTCGATTTCTGGTCCAGGAAGATTCTACATGCTGTGGACCAACTAAGCCCGAGCATCACTATTACTGAGCCCGTGCTCCAGAGCCTGCAAGCCACACCTACTGAGCCTGCGCGCTGCACCCACTGCAGCCCAGGAGCCTAGAAGCTGCGCTCTGCAGCAGGAAGAGCCACCACAGTGAGAAGCCCGCACTGCAACAGAGTAGCCCCCCTCGTGGCAGCTAGAGAAAGCCCTGTGCAGCGAGGAAGACCCAGCCAGCCAAAAACATGAAATCAAATGCCAGAGGGAAGACCGGTCTACTTTTATACTCTTTATAGACGATATTACAAAATTGTCATATAAAAAGACAATCAAAGACTATGTAGCTAAACATATAGAAAAATCTATTATAGAAGATTATAGAGTTTATTGGTTAAAAAAGTGACTTTTTTAGTTTGTAGTGTATATGGTTTAAGATCTTGTTTTTTTTTTTTTTTCAGTTCTACCACTTTATTGCTACCAACCCATCTCCCTCCACCCTCGTGCACACATGCTCAGTCATGTAATCCTATGGACTTCAGCTCGCCAGGCTCCTCTGTCCATGGACTTTTCCAGGCAAGAATACTGGAGTGGGTTGCCATTTCCTTCTCCATAAGATCGTTTTTATATGCAGTTTATTGTTCCTCATCTAAATAAATGTTCACTTTTTAAATTTTATTTATTTATTTATTTTGGCTATTCTGGGTGTTCATTGCCGTGAGGGCGTTCCTCTAGTTGTGGAGATTGGGGGGCTACTCTCTAGTTGTGTGCCGGCTTCTCTTTGCAGTGTCTTCTCCCGTGGAGCACACGCTCTAGGGTGTGAGGGCTTCAGTAGTTGGTGTACGTGGGCCCAGTAACCACGGCTCCTGGTCTCCAGAGCGCGGGCTCAACAGTTGTGGTGTGCATGCCTAGTTGCTCTGCTGTATGTGGGATCTTCCTGGATCAGAGATCAAACCTGTGCCTCCTGCATTGGCGAGCAGATTCTTTACCACTGAGCCACCAGGGAAGCCCCAAATAATCACTTTTGAATCTAATTTTCTCTCAATAATTTTACATTATTTTTCTAGTGAAAGTCACTCAGTCACGTCCAACTCTTTGCAATCCCATGGACTGTCCATGGAATTCTCTAGGCCAGAATACTGGAGTGTATGGCCTTTCCCTTCTCTAGGGGATCCTCCCAACCCAAGGATCAAACCCAGGTCTCCCATATTGCAGGCAGATTCTTTACCAGCTGAGCCATAAGGCAAACCCAAGAATACTGGAGTGGGTAGCCTATCCCTTCTTCAGGGGATCTTCCCGACCCAGAAATTGAACCGGGGTCTCCTGAATTGAAGGTGGATATTTTACCAACTGAGCTATCAGGGAAGCCCAGAGGGCTAGGCTACAAAACTTTTGCTCTGACATTGGACACTGTAAAATGTTTCATCAATTATTTACTAAAGAGGTCTTTATTTACTAAAGAGGTCTAAAGATTGAAATTCATTTAGAATCAAGGGGGGTGGGGTGTGAGTAGAGAAAATCTGGCATTGTGCCTTTGGTCTAGATAATTTAACCCCTTTTAACAAACCAAGGGCAAGCCCACATTCACCCCCTGAGAGTTCTGTTTGTATATATGGAGTTGGGTGGGGGATTCTCACCTGGACTTCAGAGGATCTCCTAACTGGTTCTCCCTATTTCTAATTGCCCTAGCTTTTAACTTCTGACCTCTTCAGTGTCCCTAATACTCCGTTATTTTTCCTTCCCCCTTTGGGAGAGACTAATGGAGACAGAAACATGATTATTTACATCAAAAAGGAACTGGGGCAGTTTATCACAAAAGAGACTTACTGTGTTATCAGAGCTGTTAAAAAAGAATATGGTAGGACTCTAAGAATTGATGATCATTAAAAGATATTCAAGATATATTGTAAAGGGGGGGTGGGTGAGGTGGGGGAAGCAAGTTGCAAAACAATATGCATAGTTATAGCCTGTTCTTTTCCTAAAACTACTATATTTCATTCATTCTAAGATACACACACATACTACCAAATTTTAACATCTCTGATCAATGGCCTATCAGAGTTTAACTGGCATTTTTTTCTCTTAGAGGTCTATAAAATAAAAAACATAATCAATGATACCTTAGATTTGATGAAATACAACAATTGTTAAAAAACAAAACTTTACTTTAAAGATGAAATTTACTTTACTCAAGGATTCGTGAACCAGACAGAAGACAAATAGAAGGACACAGTTGTACAAAATGGAAGTTTTGCTAAGAGGAAATAGAAGCTTTTTTTACAGGCAGAAAGAGGGTAGGACAAGGAAGTTTAAAGTGGATTATTTGGGGAAGTTTACCTTTTCCTTGAAAGGTGGGTGGAATCTTAGTAGGCAGATTGCCTCACTAGTACAGACCAGGGCATTTCAGATTGATTGGTTTAAAATGTCTCATTCCTGGGAGAGGCCAAAACTACCTTAGGTATTGGGTCTTGGTGGTGCTTAGTGTAAATGACCCAATTTGGGGGCTCCTGCTTCTTTTTATATATATAGCACACTAATATATATAGCACACTAATCAGACCAGGATGCATTTTGAAAGCCCTAGTCTGGAAAACCCTTCAGCTGTTTAGAAAGCCTTCTATTAAACGGAAAATCCCTAGGTGTTGAGGCACAAACAGAGACTGGTTACCAAGAACCTGCTTGTAGGGCTGGTTGACATGGCAATCAGAGGATTGTCATGTAAGGGAGTGATTAGGGCTGGGATTCTAATGCAGCTTCTCACTTTGAAAGCAGATAAATGTCCAAGTGTGAAGAGACTCAACACCCTTCTGACTTGATTTATGCCCAGTCCTGGACTGGCCGGGACTCTCATTAAGCTGGTAGCTGAAGGAACAAGACCAAGAGGAAATAAAAGGTGCCTGGAGTCCCAACTGCTTTACCATCAAAGGGTGTCCTTTCTTAGTAGCAGGACTGTATCCTTTACCCAGTTCAGTAAAATGTTATCCTAGGCAAGTTCTGTTGAGCCTGTAACCCTAGGGGGATCTTACTATATTAGTGTAATATATTCAAGTGTATTTGCATACAAAAAAGTTAGAATACAGGATAAATTAATGAGAGATTATTTCTCGGGAATGAGATTAATGGAGATTTAAACTTTGTACTTTTATATTTCTCTATTATTACCTTAAAAAAAACCCTCACTTAAATTATACCTTTATAATCGAAGGAAAAAGGTAAAGCTATTCCAATGGGAAAACACGGGCTAATATTAATAATTAAGTGGGTAAGCGACTGATGTATTTCCTTTTCACATCTTAACCCTCAGCTTTCTAATGAGCATGAATTGTTTTTTCCCATACGAAAATGTGTTTTAATAAATAAAAGAAACTCCCTTCAAACACATTTCACTTCTGCAAATAAAAATAAACGCACAAATTCTTCAACATCGCAAGGAAAAAATTGTTTATTTCTAAATCAAATTTACACAGGATTAGGATTTATTCATTAAGCAAACACACAGGTGAGAATAAACTGCCTACTGTCGGGTTAGAGAAAACTCTTGTTGTGGCTTTCTCGCTTATTATGTCAATTTGATTTTAAAAATCTGTTTTTAATAAAAGACAGTTTCAAGAAACCTGTAACTTTCGAAAACTTCTAAAAGACAAGGGATGGGGCGGCTTAGCGCCTCCCGTCTCACTTGACCCTCCCAAACGAGGAAGCCATCTTAAGCACCGCCTCATAGAGGAAACTACATCTCCCAGAATCCTTGCGGCTTGCGTCGTGCTGGCACTTTTACTGGCAGGGTCTTAGAGCTGAGCCTGTAGCCGGGCGCCATCTTTGACTCTGGCAGTCTTGGATTTCTGCTGGTGTTGCTGCTGAGAAGACGGCGGGCGGCAGCGGCTAAGAAAGAAGAAAGACGTGGCAGCAAGCGGGAGTCGGGAATAGTGTCGACGGTTCGGTAAAGTTTCTGTTCTCTGGTAACTAAACCCGTTTTTTTGCTTCCCGGGTGGCTTGGGGCCGGGGAGGTGGGGGAGAGGGCGAGGGGAGTGGCCGCGGCCTCCCCTCGCCCCTGGGTCGCGGCCTAGCCCGGAAAGTCAGAGCGGGTCCTTAGGTCTTGCGGTAACGACCCCCTCCTCCACCTTCCAGCGGCCGCCGTCGCCGGGGCGGGCTGGTAGCCCCAGGTTCCCGCTTCCAGTTCCCGTCCACCCTGCCCCCACCCCGCCCCCGCTTCACTGCCCCCACCCCCACGGCGCCTGCTCCTTTCCCAACCTTCTTCCCCTCCCCCACATCCGGTGTTGGCGAAACTGGGATCCCGGAGCAGCCCCTGGAAACCGACTTGTTACCCTACCTCCAGAGGAGAACTGACTCTAAATTGGTTTCTTTGGGGGCAAGAGTTTCCCTAGTTTAGCGGACCCCTGCTGCGTAAATCGGATTGAGTGCTAGGAGCTGATTTTACCTACTCTCATTCCTCTCTAGGGCCCCACTACTTGGGAGATTTTCTCAAACTCCACACACAGAAAGCCACCGACCTTATTCCGGTATCCTACACCCCTTTCGTACCTTAATTACACTTCCTACCCCCAGCCCTCAGCATCGGAATCAAGAACAACAGGGACACTTCCGTTCTTCTTGTGGGATTGATGAAACCGTAATGAAGAACACCCCCTAAACTCCCATAATCGGTGCGGATTCTTATGGGGAAGGCTCATATTCTTGACATCTTCCAACCCTTGGTTCTGGACCTTGAGAAGGAGGCTGAAATAGTGATAGCGATGTTTTTTAGGGTAAATGGGTGTAGGTACTGGGGGAAGGGGAGGGATCAACCAAGAAGGCATGAGAATGATTTAAAGCTAGTATTTCATTTTTTGCTGCTTATATAGAGTCCAACCTAGGAGTTACTCATTTATAGGCTGTACAGCTTCTCCAGTCTAAACATGTCTTAAAAACCAAGCATGGATTAACTCTTGATACGAAAAGTAAATTGAAAAATCGCTTGTGAGTAAAATTTTAAAGTTTTACTCTCAAAGCTTTTTTTTTTTTTTTTGCTGCCTATACTTTTAAAAGAACTGTGTTACTGTTACTGTTTTAGAGTTGAAAGGGCCCAAGTAGCATTTTGCTGTTAATGACCAGTATGTGGAGTCTGATTTAACTTTCCAGAATTGACATTTGGAGTTATAGTGCCAAATTGCAGTCCTAAATGGTGAATGTTGAATGATGCACTATGTTTTTGTTTAAATGAAATTTACGGAAAATAATTAACTTCATTCAGAATTAGGGGAAATTGATGTTGCTATCATGAGGCAGCATTAAAAAATACATATTTTAGAAGCTGAAGACATTTCAAGCAGGTTTAGTTTCTGATGAAAGAGAAAGAACATGGACCTGAGGTTTAAAAAACCTGGTTTCTAGCTGCTACTCATCAACTTTATTACACTGGGAAAGTGGGCCTCAGTTCTTTTTCTATAAACATGAATTAATTGGACTATTTGAATTCAGAAGTCAGAAAGTTGGAAGGGATCTTAAAGCCCTCTATGAAAAAGTTTGGGAATGTTCTCCATTGCTGTCATTTTTCCTCCAAAAATAACCTGGCTTGGAAGTCATTGGTCCAAAGGGAATTTGACTCCCCATGGAAATTGGAGAAAAGGTGATGCAAGTAGAGAGGAACAGCTGTGTGTATGTTTGAGGAGTAAACTCACTAACAGATTCTGGCACGAATTTGGGAGACTTAAAAAGGATGAGTGTATGTACCTTAAGTGTACCAGTTTCCTCACTTTCTCCTGGTAGAAGATGTGGCACTTACAGTGGTGCTGGGATTCTGGGGTGTGTTTCTATTCCTTCTAATGCAGATGAAGAAGATGTGGTAGAGAGAAAGATGGTAGCAGGAATGGATAAAGAGGCGGAATTGCCCACTAAAAAGAAAAGAAAGAAGGGTTTGCGAATTAAGGGGAAAAGGCGACGAAAGAAACTGATCCTTGCAAAAAAGTTTAGTAAGGATTTGGTATCCGGGAGGTCAGTTGCAGATGCCCCTGCTTTGTTAGATTCTAGTGCCCCTGAGCAGGATGAAGAAAGTCTTTTTGAAAGCAATATAGAAAAACAGATTTATTTACCTAGTACCAGAGCCAAGACCTCCATTGTGTGGCACTTCTTTCATGTGGACCCGCAGTATACCTGGAGGGCTATTTGTAACCTCTGTGAAAAAAGTGTTAGTAGGGGTAAACCAGGTAGCCATCTCGGCACATCTACTCTTCAACGACATCTGCAGGCAAGGCATTCACCTCACTGGACAAGGGCCAACAAATTTGGAGTTACAAGTGGGGAGGAGGATTTTACTTTGGATGCACCTTTATCTCCCTCCTCTGCTGGAAGCAGTGGAAGCTTTGAATATATCCCTGCTGATCCATTAGATAATGGAATGGGTAAGAAACGTGATAAATCAGTATCTGATGCCCTAAGGGCACAAAGAGGGAGATTTCTCATTAAAAGTAACATTGTCAAGCATGCCTTAATTCCTGGAACAAGAGCCAAGACATCTGCAGTTTGGAATTTTTTCTATACTGATCCTCAGCACATCTCAAGAGCTGTGTGTAATATATGTAAACGAAGTGTGAGCCGGGGTAGGCCAGGTTCTCACCTAGGAACTTCAACACTTCAACGACACCTGCAGGCCACTCATCCCATCCATTGGGCAGTTGCCAACAAAGACAGTGGTGCAGTTGGAAATGGATTAGATGAAGCTGAAACTGAGAGAAACGATCTCTTGAGTGACACTGAGCATGGAGAGAAGTCTGCAGGGGGACAAGATGTAGCAGCTGAGCACCTTAGTGACTCTGATTCAGATGAACCTCCTGTATTAGAGGTTGAAAATAGAAGATCTGAGAGTCCTACTCCTGTTGCAGAGGAAGACACTCAAATGCATGCACAAGAGCAAGAAACAGCACACTGTGAAAATTCAACCTCAAGTCAAATAAGTCAGGCAATTATTCAAATGATTGTCGAAGATATGCATCCTTACAACTATTTCTCAACCCCAGCCTTTCAGAGGTTCCTGCGGATTGTGGCCCCTGACTATAGGTTACCATCTGAAACTTACTTTTTCACTAAGGCTGTACCTCAATTGTATGATTCAGTCAGAGAAAAAATTTTCTTAACTTTGGAGAATGTTCAGACCCAAAAGATCCACTTGACTGTGGACATATGGACCCATGACCCATCCACTGACTATTTCATTGTGACTGTACACTGGGTCTCTTTGGAAACTACAACTTCTTTCAATAATGGCAGGATCCCCAACTTTAGAAGGTGGGCAGTTCTTTGTGTAACAGGTTTAGCCAAAAACTGTTTGATAACCAACATTTTACAAGAATTAAATGACCAGGTTGGTTTGTGGCTTTCTCCTAATTTCCTCATCCCTAGCTTCATTGTTTCTGACAGTTCTTCTAATGTAGTACACGCAGTCAAAGATGGCGGTTTTACCCACGTGCCATGCTTCCTGCGTTGTTTAAATATAGTCATTCAAGACTTTTTCTGTGAGCACAAAAGCATTGAGAACATGTTAGTGGCTGCTAGGAAAACCTGTCATCATTTCAGTCACTCAGTCAAGGCCCGTCAGATACTGCAAGAGTTCCAAAATGATCACCAACTTCCATGGAAAAATTTGAAACAAGATGAAGCTGGCCATTGGATTTCTACCTTTTATATGTTAAAATGGCTCTTGGAGCATTGCTACTCAGTTCACCATAGTCTTGGTAGAGCCAGTGGAGTTGTGCTCACCTCCCTTCAGTGGACTCTAATGACATATGTTTGCGATATTCTTAAACCATTTGAGGAGGCCACCCAGAAAGTGAGTGTGAAGACCATAGGATTGAATCATGTGCTACCCCTAATCCATCATCTACTCCTTTCCCTGCAGAAACTCAGAGAAGATTTTCAAGTTAGAGGTATTACTCAGGCCCTCAATCTGGTAGACAGTTTATCTCTGAAACTTGAAACTGACACCCTACTAAGTGCCATGCTCAAATCCAAGCCCTGTATCTTGGCTGCTTTGTTAGATCCTTGCTTTAAAAACAGTTTGGGAGACTTTTTTCCTCAAGGTGCTGATTTGGAAACTTATAAGCAGATCCTTGCAGAAGAAGTTTGTAACTATATGGAATCTTCGCCAGAGGTCTGCCATATTGCAACTTCAGAAGCTTCTGGTCCCTCAGCTATAGTAGGAACTGATTCATTTACCTCATCTATAAGGGAAGGCACCTCCATTTCAGGATCTGTTGATAGTTCAGCTGCAGATAATGTTGCCATTGGAGGCAAGAGCTTAATGTTTCCTTCTGCTATGGCAATAGTGGATGAATACTTCAAAGAGAAGTATTCAGAGATCTCAGGGGGTGATGACCCTTTGTTTTATTGGCAAAAGAAGGTGAACGTATGGCCAGCTTTGACCCAAGTTGCCATTCAGTATCTGAGCTGCCCCATGTGTAGTTGGCAGTCTGAATGTGTCTTTACTGCAAATAGCCACTTTCATCCAAAGCAGATCATGAACCTGGACTTTGATAATATAGAACAGCTGATGTTTCTGAAAATGAACTTGAAAAACGTTAACTATGATTATTCTGCATTGGTTCTAAGCTGGGATCCTGAGAATGAAGTTATTCAAAGCAATGAAAAAGAAATATTATCTTAATTTCTTTTTCCTTTCTCCATTTAAAATGGGCAACTTATTGCTATGTTAGTGTATCCTAATTGCTATAATTGTTATGTGTAGTTATACTAATTATTCTTTATGCACTATCTGGGGAAACCTGAGAACACAGAAAGGGCTGAAAATTCCTCAGAGGTGATACAGTATCGACAAAGTGAAGACTATAAAGATTTCATAGTAGTAATTCAGTATAGCTATCACCTGAAATTTTGTTTGTACCAATTGAGAGGGGAAAAGAGATTTTTTTTAATTAGAAAAATATAGTGCAGCATTGAAAGGCCTTAGGCTATATCTGGCTGGTAGATAGAACTAGTAATTGGTTTTAAGTTAAAATTTCTCTCAACTTGGGAAGGTTGATTGCTCTGAAACCAATAAAATAGAGAAAAGGCAGGACTGTATAGTCCATGGGTTCGCAAAGTTGTGTAGAGTGGAGCGACTTTCAGTTTCATACTAAACTGATATCTCCCCTCCCCTCACCACCACTATTTTTCTATTTCTTAAAAACCCTGATTGATACTTACAGCTTGGCAAAAACAAAAGTTCACAAAATTGTTTTATACTTGGGAATTTCTAATTGCCTCCTCATACTGGTCAATTTTATAATTTCAACTTCGTAAGTGTGTTAGAGTTGCCCGTTATATTTAAGACTGGATCTATATAAAACAGAAACATTAGAAAACAATTAGGAAAAAATACTTTTAGTGTTTGAATTGCCCTATATAACTTTTATTGTAAAAACAATAAAAGATTATATAGGTACTTTTATATAATTTATGGGTAAATGACAAAAAATTTACAGAATTGGAGAAGATTGAATGGGAATTGAAACGAAAGCCCCATGAGCATACTGTGACAAAACCAGTATCTGTTTCCCAAAGAATGTTTCTCTGAATTTAAGTGATCGTAAATGTCTTTTTAAAAATTACACTGAATGATCCATAATACTGTATTCTTAACTGTGAGATTATTTTGGCCTTAATTCTTACTTTAAAATAAGCAGTCACTATTTTCATGTGTTAGGAATCATTGCCTCACTGGTTAAATGAAAGAATTGATCTCAGTTGATCTTGTCCCTTTCCACTCTGAGAGTATGTTTTTGTGATCGAGTGGGAGGCCAGAAATAATGACTTTTAGTAAAAGTTTCAGACCGAATAACTAATGTAAGATCCCAATTTTTCCTTTTTTTCATTTTAGATTTGGGGATATTCCCTGCCCAAAAATTTCCTGGAAAATTGACTAGTATTAAGTGTGAGTAAAAGGTGTCCACTTTTTTTAAAGTTTTGATTTTAGTTTTGTCTTGGATAGTATTTGGCAAGATTTAGCCTAGAAATTATGTAGTATTTATTACATGAGAGTCAAAATTGCTTTGTTACTGGGCTGGTTTCAAAATTTAGAACTCATTTCTATGTATCAAAATCGCTCTTCATTTTTGTTTTTTTGAAATTCTTAAATGGTAAATGTACCATTGTGAAATGAAATTTCAACTCCAAAAGTTTACCCTTTTACTAACTGGAGTAAATGGATAATTACAAGGTGTTTAGTTGTAGCCATCACTAGTAAAGAATTTGGAACTAGATTGCGTAAGCCTTTGCAGGGCCACCATTGAATGTCACGCCAGTGACACGGGTGTTATAAAAGAAGAAAAAAAATCTTCCCTTAGATAGAAACTTTCTGTATTTTGACAGTGCCAGTTCAGGATGGCTATAATGCTGCTCTGCCTTCTACAGCTTGCTGCACCACTCTGTAGTTACTCTGTAACTATACATTTCTATCTTTTTTGGTTAAACACTCCCTGAAGATGATAAAAGATGATGTGACAATATACATACATCCATATTATACACATCGATAGATGTGTAAGGATTTCCCTTCATTTTTATTTTGTGGGCTAGGCAAAATTTAGTGTAACATTAAAGTACTTCATGATACTTTGGTATAAGAGGAAATTCATTATTTTTATAATGACCCAAATTTAAAGGCTTTTGTAGTGTATTTTAAAAGGGAAAACTTACCCAGATGTTTTATTTCTACACATTTGTGTACGTGTGTGTGTGTTTATAAGCCAGTTAGTATATATGTATATGTATATTATACATAAAACACTATATTTTTACATACAAGTATGTTTTTATTATACAGATAATAAAGATGGGGGAAGGTTTCTGTTTTTTTCTTAATAGGTGAAGAAATCTTGAAGACCAGAAATTGGATCTTATTGAATTTTGGTGTTTTTTGGTTTTTTTAAAAATTTTTTCTTTCTTTTTTCTTTTTAAATTAATTGTTCGGCTATGGAAGATTGATCTTTTTTTCTTTTTGATAATCCTTTGAATCTCAAGTTCATCTTTATATGAACTCTTTTTTGTTGTTGTGTTTTTTTTTTTGTTTTTTTTTTTTTGAGGAGATAACTAACCCTAGCTGTCTCCAGTTTGACAAAGGTTATTTGAATGGACTTAAACTCTCAGTAGTTGAGAGATATTTTAAAAACACATCCTGTGTTTGAATTGTGGCTGAGAGGTTTCCTTGGCAATGTGAGGAGGAAAATTCTTTCTGCCTCATTATTATTAACTCATGGATTGAGTGTTGGTTCGACCTACAGGCGTAATAAATTGGAACTCAGTGAAGACACAGACATTCCTGTTGAGATCAACCAGCTAATGTAAGTGTGGAAATGTGTTTGGTTTTTTTTTATCATTAAAGGGGTGAACATTTTTGTGATTTAGGGCATAATTTTCCTGAACCAGTAAAAAAATCAAAAAGATAATTAATTGTCAACACATTATTTTTTTCTTGTAATTGTTTACAAGTTTTGGGGGTTTTTTGATAGAAATATCACTACCCCTTCTTTTTTTTTAATAATACATACTCATAATAAAAGTAAAAACAATATAGACAAGGCGGATTCTTCCTGTAATTCTGCCTCCTTGGAGAAAACCACCATTAACAGTTTATCGTGGCATAGTTTCATGTCCATACTCATAGCTTTGCCTCACCTCTTTTTAATGACTATGTTTGTTGCTTTATAAGAATAGATATGCAATACTTTAATATATCTTTCATTGATGGACGTTTGGGTTTTTGCCATTGAAAACAAAAATAACCCCTTATCTAAAAACAGCTATATATATATATATAAACACACATATATGTGAACTGTTTCTTTGAACCAGTTCTTAAATGTGAATTTGTAGAATTGTTATAATCCTTTAAGGAGGTTATACCAATTTACTGTATCAGTGAAGTCTTTTTGATTTTCAAAAGTTCTTAACACATCCCTTTTAGTGAAGGTATTAATCCTTGGCCATGTTGCTGATCTTTTGCTGTATGAATGGTTTTCATTTTATGTAGTCATATCTATGATTTTTGTCTTGGTTTGTAACTTTGGTATTAGGGTTAGGACAGGTTTTTTTTCATCCTGAGCTTATTAAAAAATAATACCATGCATTTCTTTCCAGTACTTAAGTGTTTACATACTTACATATTTTATATTAAAATGTAATCTAAGGATTGTAGTTAAATGACATTGCCTCTCTTCCTTCCCTTAAGCATTGTCAAAAATGGTTGCTTTTTAGCTCAGCATAGTTATGAATTTAGAATCTTTCTTATATAGTGCTTTTAGTGAGTTAAAGCATCTTTGTCATCCTTGCTTTTGTTCTCCTGGAACCTTTTTGTATGATACAGAGTTTATTTTTTTCAAATGGATGGCTAATTTTTTTTTGTTGTTAATTTCAAATGCCACTTTTTCCAGAAATTGCTTGAATTCTGTTTATCTTGTACTCTTTCATTTGCCAATATTACACACCTGTGGTAATTACAGGAAGCCCAGAGCCCTCTCATTCTTCTTAAGATTTTCTTAGTTACTTTTAAGTAATTTTGCAGTCTGTCAGGTTCCAATAATAAAGTATCATTGAGATTTTGAATTGAATTGCATTCAATCTACTTACATTATTTAGGGGAAAAGTAAACTTCATTAAGCCTCTACTCCATTATCTCTCCATTATCCAGGTCTTCTGTGCCTTAGTAGTTTAATAGTTTTGTTTCTAATTTGATGGGGTCTTTTATATTTCTTTATTTTCTTCCTATATATTTTAGTTTTATTGTGACTAGGACTCTTATCATCTGAATGATTGTGTTGGAACATAAGAAATTTACTGATTTTAAAAAATATGTTATTATTTTAAATTTCTTTAATTGATAGATTTTATAGTTTGCAAGAATAAAATCTACAGATACTAAATTTTTTGCTTCATCCTTTCTAATCTTTATACTTTTTTCCCTTATTGCATGCATTGAACTCTGAAACAGTGTTGGATGATAGTACAGACAAGCCTTTTTTTTCCCTTGAGTGAGTGACTTGTAGTGTTTTGCCATGTCACATATGATGGTAGTTTCTCATCAACTAGTACACTTATGCTAAGAAGGTTCCTTGTAATTTACAGAGTTTTTATTGGGAATAGATGTTGTTTGTAGCTTTTTTTAAAAAGCCATTTTACCTTTTAAAAAACTACAGTTTTAAATATTTTTTTCACCATTTTTCTGTTTTTGAAATCTTTAGATACCACAGAGTTTCCTTTTTTAATCCCTGTTTATTCTAGTAATGAATTTCCCAATATTAAGCCATTCTTAGTTCTGGAATAAACCTTCTTTGATCATGTTTTGTTACTCTTTTGATATATGGTTCACTTTATTATTTAGGATTTATCAGCTGTATCATAAATCAGACACCCCAAAGTAGTTGCTTTAAAACTTAAAAAAATGAGATAATGCCTTTTCATTGTTTTGTTCTTTTTCTACTATTTATTTTTTTCTGATTTTTTTTCTGAAGTTAGACTGCTTCCTTTAGTAATTTTTGAAAGAATACGTGGAGTACATATATGATAAATACTTTATGAGACTTTCTAAAACCTTCTTCCCAGTCCTGAGCTTTTCTTGAAATGTAATTTGAAAAGCTCAATCTAGGGTCATAATATCACCTTTTAAATTCTGGATATTTTGTCTTTTGAAATTTTAGAGATTCAAATGATGTGTCAGATGTCAAGTCTGATTTTCTTTCTTTTGTTTTCAGTCTGGTTTTTCCTGGAAGTCTGTATAATTCTGCTTTACCATTGTAATTCAAAAATTTCACCATTGTATATATGGTGAAGTAGCAATGTCTTTAAAGAAAATTTCTGCCTGGCATTTGATGAATCCTTTAGTTAAAAGACTTAAGTTCATCCAGTTTAGGGAAATTTCTTTGTATTGTTATTTTATTATCATTTCTACCAGTTCCATTCCATCCTTGTATTTTATTATCATTTCTACCAGTTCCATTCCATCCTTGTATAATTTTCATTGAGTAGAAATTGAATCTTCTGAAATTATTTCTGTGTTATCTTTCCTCTCACATTGACATCTTTTTGCATTCTGGGGAATGTCCCAATAGTGATATCCTATGATTCAGTTTTGTCTTTTTCATCGGTGTTTATTCAGATTTTTCTTTATCTTGGGTACTATTTCTTTTTTATTAAAAAAGGAATGTGCACCATGGTTTTGGACTTTTGTCTTATGTAGTAATAGTTCAGTCAATTTTTACCTCTATATTTTTGGGGGCCATTTTCTTGCATAGCAGTTATATCCTTCCCCCCCACCCCCCAGTGAAAGTTAAAGAAGTTCAGTATGTAAAAGGGATATATGAAAGAACTGTTGTATTTAAACATTAGTAATGTGGTGCATATCTATTCAGGATTCAATCTCTCCATGCCTTGCCTTGCCTACCTCAGGGTGTTTTACAGAATCGATTTTGAAAAAACGAGGGGAAAAGTACAACTCATGCTATTCTGCTATTTCATAAATCTCATTTTGTTTGTTTAATATGTAGCAGTACAACTGAAACCAACAACAGTTTCATTTATGTTCTTTGGCATGTTGATTTCAGGAATGAAAGGGACACCAAAGCCTTTTCCCCTTTATAAAAAGACCTTTCTATTGTGAAATGCTTCCATTCTTTTCTGACTAACACTTTTTCTTACAGTGTGTGTCATTGTAGTTAATTGAATATTCCTAGAGACTTGATCCCATTGGAGGCAATTTTTTAGTTTTTATTTTATGTTGTAGTAGAGTTGGTTTACAGTGCTGTGCTGGTCTCAGGCGTACAGCAGAGTGATTCAGTTGTGCATACACACATATCCAGACTTCCCTGGTGGTTCAGACAGTAAGGCGTGTGTCTGCAATGCGGGAGACCTGGGTTCCATCCCTGGGTCGGGAAGATTCCCTGGGGGAGGAAATGGCAACCCACTCCAGTACTCTTGCCTAGAAAGTCCCGTGGACGGAGGAGCCTGGTGTCCATGGGGTCCCAGAGTCAGACACGGCTGAGTGGCTTCACTTTATACACACAGCCATTCTTTCTCAGATCCTTTTACTATTACAGAGGGTTATAATAGACTGTGCTATACAGTAGGTCTTTGTTGATTATTTATTTTATATGTAGTAGTATGTATATGTTAATCTCAAAGTCCTAATTTTTCCTGCCTCTAAATTTTCTTACTTTTCTTTGGCCATTCTGCTTATTTAATCTCAGTTCCCCAACCAAGGATTGAACTCAGGCCATGAATGTGCCAAATCCTAATTGTTGGACCACCAGGGAATTCCCTCTCTCCCTCTGATTTTTAAAGTTACTTTTTGGTGTACCCTAGATGGTGGAATGCATTCTCTTGGTGGTCAGAGGAATGTTGGTAGTGGACTGGTGAAGTGGTATTAAAGACCCAATCCTTGTTCTATTCTGTAGTATATCAACAATGGTCAGGTCAGTTAGGGTAGGCTTAAGTTTTCTGTTATATCTGTGTTTCATCATATTAGAAAATGTAGTGTTATTCTCAACATAAAATAATAAATAGCCACCTGTAATCCTACTACCATGACTATAACTACTGCTAACATTTGATCTTTGTTTTTCTAGGTTTAGCTTTCTTCCTGCTACCACATCCTCACCAGCACTTGGTGGTGCAAGTTTTTGGATTTTTGTCAGCCATTCTAAAAGGAATTTGCAACTCCAGTGATACTGAATGTCTTTTCATATGCTTGTTTGTCATCTGTATATTTTCTTTGGTGAGGTGTCTGTTTAGATCTTTTGCCCATTTTTAAATTAGTTTTTCTTTAACTTAATTATTTTTTTGGCTGTGCCCCATAGCATGTGGGATCTTAGTTTCCCACCAGGGATCAAACCTGTGCTTTCTGCATTGGAAGCATGGAGTCTTAACCACTGAACCACCGGGGAAGTCCCTGCTTTGTTTCTCTATTGTTGCATTTTAAGGGTTCTTTGTATATTTTGGATACCATTCCTTTATCAGTTATGTGTTTTGCAGAAATTTCCTCCCAGTCTGTAACTTGGCTTTTCATTTTCTTAATAGTGCTTTTGAGAAGTGGAAGTTTTTAATTTTAATTAACTCCAACTTACCAATGTTTCCTTTAATGGACTGTACATTTGGTGTTATGTCTAAAAAGCTATCACCACACCCAGAATCACCTGGATTTTCTCTTGTTTTATTCTCTAGGAGTTTTATAATTTCACATTTGTGATCCATTTTAATTTTTGTGAAAGGTATAAGGTCTCTGTCTAGATATATTTTTTTGCATGCAGGTATTCTCCTCTTCCAGCATTGTACATTGAACTGACTCTCCCTTCTCCTTTGAAATTGCCTTGCTTCTTTGGCAAAGATCAGTTGACTCTATTTGTAATGTATATTAGTTTCCTGGGGCTTCCATAACAAAGTACCACGAACTTGGGTGTCTTAAAGCAACAGAAGTTTATTATTCACAGTTTTGGAGGTTAGAAGTCTGAAAAGATGTTAACAGGGTCATGCTCTCTTTGAAACCTGTAGGGAAATGATCCTTCCTTGCTTCTTCTAGCTTCTGGTGTTTGCTGGCAATCCTTGTCATTCCTTGGCTTATAGAAGCATCAGTTTTTGAACCTTTAGGTTTCTAGGTGTTTTTTCCCTGTTAGAAGATGGTGCTGAAATTTCTTATGCACTATTCTTTTGTATATTTGTTGAATATTAGTTCAGTTCAGTCGTGTCCGACTCTTTGCAAGCCCATGGATTGCAGCACACCAGGCCTCCCTGTCTATCACCAACTCCTGGAGCTTACTCAGACTCGTGTCCACTGAGTCAGTGATGCTATCCAACCATCTCATCCTCTGTTGTCCCCTTCTCCTCCCGCCTCCAATCTTTCCCAGCATCAGAGTCTTTTCAAATGAGTCCATTGTTCGCATCAGGTGCCAAATTATTGAAGTTTCAGCTTTAGCATCAGTCCTTCCAGTTAACACCCAGGACTGATCTCCTTTAGGATGGACTGATTGGATCTCCTTGCAGTCCAAGGGACTCTCAAGAGTCTTCTCCAACACCACAGTTCAAAAGCATCAATTCTTTGGTGCTCAGCTTTCTTTATAGTCCAACTCTCAAATCCATACATGACTACTGGAAAAACCATAGTTTGGACTATACGGACCTTTGTTGGCAAAGTAATGTCTCTGCTTTTTAATATGCTGTCTAGGTTGATCATAACTTTTCTTCCAAGGAGCAAGTGTCTTTTAATTTTATGGCTGCAGTCACCATCTGCAGTGATTATGGAGCCAAAAAAATAAAGTCTGTCACTGTTTCCACTGTTGAATATTAATCTCAGGATAAATTCTGGAAATGGAATTGAAAGTCATAGGGTATTTAAATTTTGAAGGTTTCATGTGTGTTTAGTAACATAACTCTTCTAACCTAGGTTGCTGAGTTAAAGGTTGGTTTTACCATGGCCTGCTATTCTTGGATTAGGAATTGTTAGCGGAAAATAGGAATGAATTTGATTCATCTAATTTCAAGTTGTAGATCAGTGTTTCTCTTTTTAGGATCTTTTTGTTTTGTTTTGGCCAAAACCTTTTGGTGTGCAGAACTTGCCCAACCAGGGACCAACTCCATGCCCTGGGTGATGAAATTGCAAGTCTTAACCATTGGACCACAAGGGAAGTCCCTAGATCCATGTTTCTGAAACTTTATCCTCTGTTGTAGGAGTTTGTAGAAACCCCTTTCAAATTCTGACATGTGCTCTTGTCATGTAGTTTTACTTCTGTAGAAGCTTGCTTTCTTGAACCCTGTAATGTGAGAACTAGGGTATGGCAAGGACTAAAGGGGAGAGGGAATATTGATCATCCTGCATAAGCACTATTTTAGGGATAAGCCCTGAGAACTTCTTTTGCTCCTTGTGCGTAATTGGTGTACAGCTCTTCGTCATCTTCATTGTTTTAGCTCGCTCTACAGATTTTTCAGGGATAGTGGTTCACCAGCTATTCCAGCGAGTTTTTTCCACATACTTAGAATTATATGCTTTTGAAATAACAAAAATGCTTGTAAAAATATTGGAATGTTTGTTAGATGAAAAAAGTCTAGTTTGTCAGAAATACAGATTTAGCAGATTATCTTGTGTAAAATAGTCCAAGTTAATAATCTAAACTGCAGATCATTTGTTGAGTATATAATGCTTACATAATTTATGCTGAAGCACCGTAGAGAATGCAAAGAAAGATGCATGGCTGTTTAACAAAAATTTTGCATTGTAGATGAGAATGTACAACACTCACAGATTAAAATATGAATCAGAATTTTCATAAGGCTCTGCTTATTGGCCAAGGTGATTTGGAGAAGAATGTTGAAAGAATTTACCTGAAATATTTTCATTCATTGTCTTCTCATTTTAGGATTAACATTTAAAAGACGATTTCTGTGATTGACTTGTCTTTTGGAAGATTAAACCCATATCAAGAGGACTTGGAGCTGGTCCTCGCCTAAAGGAAGCAGTGGCTTATTTTCAAAAAGCCACTTCTCATCTAAGGATCTACTCAGCATGCCTAACCAAGGAGAAGACTGCTATTTTTTTTTCTATTCTACTTGTACTAAAGTAAGAATTGGCATCTCTAAATCAGTTCTTTCTATGATTTCCCTAATAAAATTGAATAAAATTTTCCCAGTATACCAAGTTGTCTTTTATATTTTGCTCAACTGTTTATTTGCTGTCAATTTTTTAGTAAAGGATAGCATTCCTAAGGGAATTCATTACTCATCGTTTTTTTCCTGTTCATTTTGTTCTCCATACTCTCCAGAAGTAAAAAGATCCATAGCATTTAGTCATCATTCAGTGTTCTTATAGCTATAATTAATCTGTTCAGGGTGCTTTTCAGGAATTAGGAACACTTGACTGTGGCTTGCTAACTTTGATGTTTGTGTAGTAAATTTGTTTTGTAGTAAATGAATGGGTGGATTGTATTGTATTTATAGAATTGTCATGGATTGAATTTGACTTCTGTCTCCAGATATCCTGCTGAATCCTAAAGCCACTTTTCTAAATATGCTTTTGCAGGTTTCTTAGAGCTTTTTTCTTTGTTGGAGCTTCCTGTATTTCAGCTTGTTCTTCTGCAGCTCCATTTAGATTTACCCATTATTTTCTGTTATCCCTTTATGACTAATTCTATACATGTGTCCTTCCCCCCTCCCCAGTATTTTTCTTAAATCATTTTGGTGCTATATTTAAAATTGTTAGTTTTGAGCAAAGCTTTGATTTTAGGTAACAAGTTGCAGAACAATAGCATTTTGTTTCAAATAGTAGCATTGCATGAAATTTATAGTGAGACATGGAATTATACTTAAATTCTAATCTATTTACTTTCTAATTTTCCATTTAAAGCTAGTTATACAAGTCAGGATATATGAAATGGTTTTGAAGATTAACTGTAAAACATATTTTTTTAAGGGTACCTAATATTCCCACTTGTATTTTTGACCCCATCTCTCAGCTTTTATCATTCATGTTGTCAGTATAAAAGATCAGATAAAAGATACTATCAAGAAATAGGTTTTAGGAAATTAAAAATTTCTTGACCTCAGATTGTTCTTATCATCCCATTTCAGTTGTTTTCTACCTTGCCTGTCTCTCCTTACTCTTCTGTGTTTGTCTAGATACCAAGAAACTTAGAGTGAGCATTTTGCTTGGGGGCTGGTTCGATACCACAGTTCTTTTCTGTATTATTTTTGTTTACAGGGTGACAGCTGTCCATTCCGTCACTGTGAAGCTGCCCTGGGAAATGAAACTGTTTGCACATTATGGCAAGAAGGGCGCTGTTTTCGACAGGTGTGCAGGTTTCGGCACATGGAGATTGATGTAAGTCTTCAGTTTGTGTTTTAGTAAGTAGTCTTGGGTCCTGGTGGGACAATAAAAAGTATGGTAGTAAAAAACATTTTATATAACATGTGGGTTAAATTCTTTTTTAATGACCTGGTGAAATTTCTGTCATCAGTAAAATGCTCACTTATTATCGAGATGCTTTATGGTATGAATTAGTGCCATTTCATAAAGGCCGTTTGGTAATCCGTCTAAAGTGTAAAAATTATACATGTATATTTAGGGAGTGTTTATATTTCTGTGTTTATTTTAAAATAGTCTGAACTTAGAGAAAAGTTGCAAGTATAGTATGATACTTCCCTCTAAACCATTTAGGGTTAAATACTTTCATGACTATTTCCTACAAATACAAAGGCTATTGTCTCACATAACTGTGATAAACCATCAAAATTAGAATATTAACATTTATATTATATATTACTCTCATTGAATTCTCAGCTCCCATTCAGGTTTTGCCCTTGAACTGGTGGCGTTCTTTATTGCAATAGGAGTGAGTCCAGAATCATGTGCTGCATCTAGTTGTCATAGTGATTTGGCCTTCTGTCTAGAACAGTTGATCAGTTTTTTCTTGCCTTTCATTTTTGGTCACTATAGGACAGTTATTTTGTAGAATGTTCCTCACTTTGGGTTTATCTAATACTTCCTCATTGCTAGTTGAAGTCGCTCAGTCGTGTCTGACTCTTTGCGACCCCATGGACTTGTAGCCTACCAGGCTCCTCCGTCCACAGGATCTTCCAGGCAAGAGTACTGGAGTTGGTTGCCATTTCCTTCTCCAATCCTCATTGCTAAATTCAGATCTTATATTTTGGGCAGGAATATCACAGAGGTGATATTCTTCTCATTGCTTACCATTGAGTGGTGTACAATTTTGATTATCCCATTACTGATGTTAACTTGCACCACTTCATTAAGGTGGTAGCCACCAGATTGCTTCACTATACATTTTTTTTTGTAATTAAGTATATTTTGGAAAGGTACTTTGAAACCTTGTAATTATCCCATTTCATATCAAATTTTGAATGAAATTTTTTTCCCCAGCTTTTTATGTGTGACCTCAGTGATTTCCTGTTTTATTCAGTGTGTTATATGCCATTACTATCATTTTTTCTTCCTCAGGTTGATGTTTGGTCAATAAGAGCCCTTAAAGCTGATTTCTGTATCTTTTTGATGTTTCCATCCTTCTTTGAACACTTCTTCACTTTCCGGCCTAACAAGATTATCCAGGTTCTCTACTTGTTTCCCCACCCTGCTCGTTCTCTGACTACACGACCCCCACTCAGGAAGATCCTGCCTTCCTCACCCTGCCTAGTCTTTAATGCCCCTTCTAGGCTGACCTCCTCACCCTGTAATGAGATGGCTTCTGCACGGAAGCCTTCGCACCCTTCTCAGGCTCCAGCGTTGTGCTGGCCCTCCTCCGACACATGCTTTGCTAGCCCTGGCAGCTTGTGCCAGGCCCACTTGGTCCCGTGGCTGCCTTCCTCGTCTCAGTCAGCCTCCACCACGCTGCTCTGGGCCTCTTGCCCTTCCTCTCCCAGCATGCACGCCTCCTCTCAGCCTCACATTCTGACTTTGTGAATTGTTTGAAAAGGGGTGGGGAAAGAAGAAAGAGCCTAATTATGCAGTTTGTAGGTCTGCGGTTATGTAACCACTCCATTCTGGTTTCAGCTGAGTACCTGGTGGCTCAGTGGTAAAGAATCGCCTGCCTGTGCAAAAGACATGGGTTTGATTCCTGGGTCAGAAAGATCCCCTGGAGAAGGAAATGGCAACCCACTCTAGTATTCTTGCCTGGGAAATCCCACGGACAAAGGAGTCTGGTGGACTGCAGTCCATGGGGTTGCAAAGAGTTGGTCATGACTTAACAAATAGACAACAACATTCTATGCTGTCTTCCAAATAGCGGATTCACTAAGTATGTTCAGAAAAAGAAATGCTCTTGCAACTTTTGAAAAATCCTGCTGTAACATTGCAAGCAGAATAAACTGGCACAACTCTTAGGAAAGCTGTGCCAGTATCTAAAAGCATACATTAGATTGGTGTGAACTTAAAGCTGTTTCAGACCGTGAATTTTAAATCATTATAACTAGCCTGAAACACATCTTTATTAATCAAAATAGGATTAATTACAATCAACACATTTTGCCAATGAGAAATAAATTGTTTCAGGATTTGATGAATTCTTGGAAAAACATTTTCTGCGTCCTGCTGGTTGTGGAAGCGTTCTCCGTGCAAAAAGTTGTCAAGATGCTTGAAGAAGTGATGGTTGGCGAGAGGTCAGGTGAATATGGTGGATGAGGCAAAACTTCATAGCCCAATTTGTTCAACTTTCGAAGTGTTGCTTGTGCAACGGTTGGGTGGTGTTGTGGAGAAGAATTGAGCCCTTTTTGTTGACCAGTGCTGGCTGCAGATGTTGGAGTTTTTTGTGCATCTCGTTGATTTGCTGAGCATACTTCTCAGATGTAATGGTCTTACCAGGATTCAGAAGGCTGTAGTGGGTCAGACTGGCAGCAGATCACCAGTGTCCATGACCTTTTTTTTTGGTGCAAGTTTAGCTTTGGGAAGTGCTTTGGAGCTTCTCCTCCGTCCAGCCGCTGAGCTGGTCAGCCTCAGTTGTATAAAATCCACCTTTTGTTGCTTGTCCCAACATGATCAAGAAATGGTTTGTTGCTGCATAGTATGAGAGAAAACAACACTTCAGAACAGTGATATTTTTGATTTTTGGTCAGATCACAAGGATCCCACTCTTCAAGCTTTTTCACCTTTCCAATTTGCTTCAAATGCCGAACGACCATAGAATGATCACCTTTGAGTTCTTTGGAGGATCAACTTTAATATCTCAGTTGATCATTGTCAACTTCTGAGCCAGCTGCTCCGATCCTCATCTTCAAGACTTTTGTCTCCTTTGCAAAATGTCTTGAACCATTTCATACACCATTGCACTGTATGTTTGTTAGCAGTTCCTGGGCCAAATGTGCTGTTGATGTGAGTTGTCTCCACTGCTTTATGACCCATTTTGAACTTGAATGAGAAAATCACTTGAATTTGATTTTTGTCTAACATCATTTCCCTAGTCTAAAATGTAAAATAAACAGCATATAAAAAGTCATTAGCAGAAAGACATAAAGTGAGAAATGCACATTACAATTATGTATAACATAGTCATTTATTTAAAAATATATTCCGTATGAAACGGCAACTTTCAGCAATGCAAAAACCGCAATTTTACATCAACCTAATACATTTGGAATTCTCTAGAAAACTCACGGGACTTAGCATATGGCTTATGCATGCATTCATGCATGCACGTGTGTGTGCTCGGTCACGTCTGACCTCTTGAGACCCCATGAACTGTAGTCTGCCAGGGTCCTCTGTCTGTGGGATTTTCCAAGCAAGAATACTGGAGTGGGTTGCCGTTTCCTCCTCCAGGGATCTTCATGACCCAGGGATTGAATGTATATCTCCCACGTTTCCTGCATTTCATGTGAATTCTGATTTATTACAGTGATAGAGTAAGGATACACTGATTAATAAAAGAAAAAGATAGTCATAGTCTGGAGTTATTCATACATGCGTTTCTTTTATGATCTCTGCATGAGGGGTCACAAAGAACACACACTTCCCCCAGCAGTGAAAATGCAGCAGTGCGTGTGCGTGTTTTTGCTCTTGGAAGCCCATTATATGGGGCTTCCCTGGGGCTCAGTGGGTAAAGAATCTGCCTGCAATGCGGGAAACTTAGGTTTAGTCCCTGGGTCCTTAAGCAACAGAATGATTCCATATTTGTTAATTAAATACTTATGGTAGTTTTATAGTACATAATCTACTGCAGATGATGGGCATTCACTGTGTAACTTTGGACCAGCTCTATGTCTTTGAACCATGTGTTATATATATATGGCTTTTTTTAAAAGCTAAAGAAATAATCATGTAGGAGAATGTTACTATGAGGATGTGTTGCTAAGTGAAAATGTACAGAATTATATGGAAAACCTTTCTTTTAAGTGTGAATCAATACATTTTACAGTTTTTTTTTTTTTTAGAATTCTATAACAAAATAAGTGACTCACTGTGTAATGGCATAATAGGTATTTTATTTTCCAAGTCATCTTTATTGTTTGTGTATTACTTTTTATTTTGAAATAAAATTCAGTAATGGTATTAAACACGTTAAATGAATGTCCTGTGACTTCAGTTTAAAGATAATGCTATCATAGTAATCATCCAGTAATTTGAAGGTTGCTTTTAGGAAAGAAGCAAAGACAGATCCAGGAGCAGGGAAAGTTGGCATTAGGTGCTACCTCAAGAAGTAGTTGGATACTTGTTATTTTAAAGAGCAGTGGTAGCTTTTTTTAAATAAACACTTACTTATGTGTTTATGTACTTATTTATTTGGTTGCACTTCCTGGTGATAACAGTGGTAGCACTTGGTAGCTTCATGGGTTTCCCTGGTAACTCAGCTGGTTACAGATTCAGTCTTGAATCTGCCTACAGTGCGGGAGACCTGGGTTTGATCCCTGGGTTGGGAAGATCCCCTAGAGAAGGGAATGGCTAGTCACTCCAGTATTGTGGCCTGGAGAATTCCATGGACTGTGTATCGTCCATGGAGTCCCAAAGAGTTGGACAGGACTGAGCAACTTTCACTTCACTTTTCATTTGGTTGCTTGGGGTCTTTGTTGCTCCTCATGGGTTTTCTTTAACTGCGGTGAGTGGGGCTACTCTTCATCGCGGTACACAGGCCGCTCAATGCGGTAGCTTCTCTTGTTGCCGAGCACAGGCTTTAGCACTTGTAGCACATGGACTCTAGAGCATGGACTCAGTAGTCATGGCACATGGGCTTAGTTTGCTCCACAGCACGTGGAATCTTCCCAGACCAGGGATCAGACTCATGTCCCCTGAATTAGGCAGATTCTTACCCACTGTACCACCAGGGAAGTGCAGTTGTAGCTATTATACCTAACTTTTAAGGGTAACAGGATACTAATAAATACTATCCAGTTCTTTGAAAGACAGAGTTATTTGCTATATTTTTTTAAAACGTGACAGTAAGTGTAGGACATAACTCTTTTCCATTGTTGTTGCTCAATCATGTGTGATTCTGCAACCCCATGGACTGTGGCTTGTCCGGCTTCTCTGTTCTTCACTATCTCCTACAGTTTGCTCAAACTCATGTCCATTGAGTCAGTGATGTCGTCCAACCATCTCATCCTCTTGTCATCCCCTTCTCTTCCTGCCCTCAATCTTTCCCAGCATCAGGATCTTTTCCAATGAGTTTGGGGCTCTTGGCTCTGCATCAGGTGACCAAAGTATTGAAGCTTCAGCATCAGTCCCTCCAGTGAATATTTAGAGTTGATTTCCTTTAGGATTTGACTGGCTGACCTTGCTGTCCAAGGGACTCTAAAGAGTCTTCTCCAAAGAATCCATTCTTCAGTGTTCAGCCTTCATTATGATCCAACTACCACATCCGTACATGACAACTGGAAAAACAATAGCTTTGACTATATGAACCTTTGTTGGCAAAGTGATGTCTCTGCTTGTTAGTACACTGTCTAGGTTTGTCATAGCTTTTCTTCCAAGGAGCAAACATCTTTTAGTTTCATGGCTGCAGTCACTGTCTGCAGTGATTTTAGAGCTCAAGAAAGTAAAGTCTATCACTGTTTCCATTGTTTGCCCATCTGTTTGCCTTGAAGTGATGGGACTGGATGCCATGATCTTATTAGGTTTTTTGAATGTTGAATTTTAAGCCATCCTTCTCACTCTCCTCTTTCACTTTGATCAAGAGACTCTACTTCCTCTTCACTTTCTGATTAGAGTGGTATCATTTGCATATCTGAGGTTGTTGATTTTTCTCCCAGCATTCTTGATTCCAGCTTGTGCTTCATCCAACCTCGCATTTCACATGATGTACTCTGCATGTAAGTTAAATAAGCAGTGTGACATAATTTTTACCAAATCACCTTTCAGAGATGTTGAGATAGTTTACGTTTCTGTTATCAGTATGTGGGACTCATGATTCCACATTCCTACCGACACAGTGTATTATCAAATTATTAATCTCCCAGTATAGCAGATATTGGAATCATTGCCCTTCTTGATACCTTTAAGGTTCTTTTTGTTTTGGGCGTTGTTTCTCTTATTTGTTTTTTCCATATTGAAAAATAGAAGTTTTTGAATAGTGCTGCTGTTCTTGCCTTGAAATTTAAAGCTTACGCTGCTTATTATGAGAGATCTAACATAATGCAGGTTATTAATCAGACATTAATTACTTTTCAGAAGTGCTTATCAGGACTTTTTTTTTAATTGAGTTCTATAGAAATGTGCACAAATCATTATCTTACATGTTGAATTTTCATTAAGTGAGTATACCTGATAGACCAGCGCCCAGATCTTGAAATAGAACATTTCCAACCCTGTCTTCCCCCTCTATCTCCTCATTGTCATTTACCACAATCCCAAAACTAGTCACCATCTTGACCATTCTACCATAGTAAAGTTTTGCCTGTTTGGTTTTTCCATAAATAGAATCATACAGTATGTGCTCTTTTGTGTAGCTTCTTTGATTTTGCACCCATGATATTGTTTATTCCCTCTCATTACTGGATAGCATTGTATTCTGTGAATATACTGCAGAGTATTCCAGGATGTATATACTGGAGTGTGTCCATTCTAGTGTTGCTGTACATTTGCTTTGTTTCCATTTTGGAGCTCTTTTTAATAGTGTTGTTTTTAAATTCTGTATATACATCTAATGTAATGTCTATGTTAGAACTAATATGTGTTTCTCTTGGACATATATCCTGTGATCCAGCAAATCATTCTGTTTTTGTTTTTCTTGTTCCCTTTTATAAAAGCAAGGTGGCTTGGGAGGTAAACCTTTCTAGTGTGTTACATGAGCCTTTGAGAAGTCACAAATGGGAAGAATTTTTTTATCCAAGTCTTGAACTCTCAGCTTCAGATAACAACTGCAGTTTATTGACTCTTCTATCGCTAAGTGCTTCTTGTACATCATTTCATTTATTTCTCATAAGAAACTGATAGCTACTGTACTCCCATTTTATAGCTGAGGAAAGTGAGACTAAGAGGTATTATTTATCTGACATTACATGGTCAGTAAGTAATACAATAGAGAATCAAACACTATTATCCTGGACTCCATAATCTTACCTACTCTAGTACCTTACTTTTCTAAATTAAGTATGGACATTTAGGATGAGGGCAAGGAGGAAAGAACAGCAAAGTTCTTCCCGGCTCTTTCATTTTCTCCATCATGCTAGGCTATGTCACTTTTAGCAACCCCTTTTCCTCATACTCAAAATCATTTCACATGCCTCAGATTTTTTACCCTTGTGTGAACTTTGTCCAGAAAACATGACCAAATTAATATAGGTCACACTGATGTCTTTTTCCTCTTACAGAAAAAACGCAGTGAGATTCCTTGTTATTGGGAAAATCAGCCAATGGGATGTCAGAAACTAAACTGTGCTTTCCATCACAACAGAGGACGTTATGTTGATGGCCTTTTCCTACCTCCAAGCAAAAGTAAGTTTCGTTTTTTAATTTTAAAATGAAGCCACATTTTCCTTCCTGGAAGTTTAGAACCTAATTGGGGAAATTAAAAATTAAATTAAAAATTTAATTAAAAGACATACATTAAAAAAGATAGTGTTCAAATCACCAAGCTTATTATAGATAGTTGGAGATTTTTTGATGAATTGGGACTTTTTTTTTTATTTACAACTAATTTTTTATGTCTAGCTGTGCTGCCCACTGTGCCTGAGTCACCAGAAGAGGAAGTGAAAGCTAGCCAGCTCACAGTTCAGCAGAGCAAATTATCTGTTCAGTCTAATCCCTCTCCTCAGCTGCGAAGTGTTATGAAAGTAGAAAGTTCAGAAAACGTCCCCAGCCCTACACACCCACCAGTGGTGATCAATGCTGCAGACGATGACGAAGACGATGACGGTGAGCTTTAGCTCTTTCTTTAGGACACGTAAATGACCAGGGTAACTTAGTGAGTTAGCATCAGATTTGAAACTCTACATCTGTTTTTTAATTGGAAATTTGCCTTAAATGTTGACAATATAGATCAGTTTTCTGAGGAAGGTGATGAAACCAAAACACCTACCCTGCAACCAACTCTCGAAGTTCATAATGGATTACGAATGACTTCTACCCGGAAACCTGGGGTCAATTTAAAACAAGGTAAGAAGGGGCTATTTTGAAGCTAGTTTCTGCTCATAAATCTTACAGCACTATTGAATAGGTCCAGACTATTTTAAATACCTTTGAAATTTAGTTCATGATTACCAGCACCTCCCTCTTCCTTGTGTCCATTACCCTCATTCACACACACACACTTACATATCCTTTCTCTTCACTGAGAAAACATTTGAATGCCAGAAGTGTATGTACAAATAAAATGCAAGGGTGAAATAGTGCTAGTTCCTCATGTGGTTGCTATTTGTGTTCCTAGGTGAAAGTTTGAATTTTGGAATAAAAACTCTTGAAGAAATTAAATCAAAGAAAATGAAGGAAAAATCAAAGAAGCAAGGTGGTGAGTTTTCAGGAGTTTTGACATGGAGGATTGAATGTTGCTAGAGAAGACTAAAAAGATACTTGGCACCAACCAAAATGAGCAAATAGATTTTGATTTTTGTGGCTTGTTTGAATTAAAACATAGTCTTATTTAAATCATAGTTGCCTTTTTAAACCGTTGCAGCTGTGTTTCAGTCCCTAACTATTCAGAGCTAGGCACAAACAATAAAAAACCTGAAAGAGCTTGTTTATTTTGAGAAATATAACTCTATAAAGAGTAGCATATAAACGCTTCTTTTTTTTTTGGCCACATTGCGTGGCTTGCAGGATCTTGGTTCCCTGACCAGGGATTGAACCCATGTGCCCTGCAGTGACAGCTCAGAGTCCTAACCACTGAACCTCCAGGGAATTCCCTAAACTATTATTAAAAGAGGAAAAACTTTATTTTGTAGTAGGTGAATTCTTCCTCAGGAACTGCTAGAATTTTCTTCTAGTGCTTGCCTTAGTTTGGTTGATCTGTATTTCGTATTAGGTTAGTGCAGAAGTAATTGCGATTTTACATTGTTGAACTTTGCTGTTTGATGTTGGGATACATTCTTAAATGTGTGTTATACATCATTTTAATGTTCATTTCTCACTTTGTTTTTTGCTAGTGACTTATTACTTGCTATGTATTTGATATTTATTTTTAGACTAGGGAAATGGTGTTAGACAAAAAGCAGATTCAAGTGATTTTCTTAATTCAAGTTCAAAATGAGTCATAAAGCAGCAGAGTCAACTCTCAATATCAGCAACACGTTTGGCCCTGTAACTGCTAACAAGCATACAGTGCAGTGGTGGTTCAAGAAGTTTTGCAAAGGAGACTTAAGAATGAAGATCATAGTGGACAGCTATCAGAAGTTGACAGTGGGGATCGGGATGGGGAATACATGTAAATCAATGGCTGATGCATGTCAATGTAGGACAAAAACCACTACAATATTACAAAGTAATTAGCCTCCAACAAATAAATGAAAAAAAAAAGAAGAAGTAGTTGACAGTGACCAACTGAGAGCAGTGATTGAAGCTGATCCTCTTACAGCTACATGAGAAGTTGCCAAGGAACTCAGTGTTGATCATTCTGTGGTCATTTGGCGTTTGAAGCAAATTAGAAAGGTGAAGAAAGTTGGTAAGTGGGAACCTCATGAGCTGACCAAAAACAAAAAAAATCGTCATTTTGAAGTGTGATCTCTTATTCTACACAATGACAACGAACCATTCCTCAATCGTATGTAACACATATGTACACATTCCTCGATCACATGTAACAAAAATTGGATTGTACATGACAACTGGCAGCAGTTTAGTGGTTGGACTGAGAAGAAGCTCCAGAGGACTTCCAAAGCCACCCGTGCACCAAAAAATGGTCACGGTCACTCTTTTGTGGTCTGTTGCTGGTTTGATCACTCCAGCTTTCTGAATCCCAGTGAAACCATTACATCTGAGAAGTATGCTCAGCAAATCAGTGAGGTACACCGAAAACCCTAATGCCTGCAACTGACATTGGTCAACAGAAAGGACCCAGTTCTCCACAGCAGTGCTTCAGAAGCTGAACAAAATTGGGCTGTGGAGTTTTGCCTCATCTTCCATACTCACTTGACCTCTTGCCAGCAGATAACCACTTCTAAGTACCTTGACAACTTTTTGCAAGGAAAATGGTTTTACAACCAGCAGGATGCAGAAAATGCTTTTCAAGGGTTCATCGAATGCATGGGTTTTTACACTACAGGAATAAACTTATTTCTCATTGGCAAAAAATGTATTAATTGTAATGGTTCCTATTTTGATTAATAAAGATATGTTTGAGCCTAGTTATACTGATTTAAACTTCATGGTCTGAAACCGCAATTACGTTTGTACCAACCTAGTAGATATCCTGTGAAATGTATTTAGAGAGAATCAGATGATTGGTTCTGAGTACGTTGTTAAAGCTTGTTCTGTAGCCACTTTGGAGTTATGTTTTGCAGATGATTGAGTATAGATGGAAAAAATTGAACTGACACACCTAATAGCTGATGTGCTTCTGAGGTTAACTTCAGTATAATGTTAGCCTTATTAGTAAGTAAATAAAAGTAGATTGAGTGCCTGAGTAACTCAGAACAATTTTATATTTTATTTTCACATTGTGCCAAAGGCAGATAAGAAATAAGACTATCTCCCTTTTCCTACTCCCATTTCACTGTAGGCAAACAGGAACAGAAAGATTGCTTGGCTTGAAGTCCAGTGGTTTGTATTGGACTTACCTGGTCTCAAAAAACAAAATTTCTTGATTTATGATAGCTTCATTTTTCATGAATTATTTACTGTTCTTTGACTTTCTTTATTTAGAAGGTTCTTCTGGAGTTTCTAGTCTTTTACTCCAATCACAGCCCATGCCAGGTCCTGAAAAAGAGAATGTCCGGACTGTGGTGAGGACAGTAACTCTGTCCAACAAGCAAGGTGAGGTATAGGTAGATTTGAAGAGTTTTAAGTTACTACTTTTAAGTGGGAGAGCAGAATCCTTGGGTTTGGTGTTATTGGTGGATTTGCAGGGAGATTTTGAGTATGTTGATTGGATAGAAGGATGAGAATTCGTGCATTTGACTCTACTGTTTTATTAAAAGGTTGAAATTGTTAATCATGCAGCTTTCATATTTATATATTTAAGTTTTACATTGTTTATTTTATCCAACGAATTTATTGACTGCCCATTGTAGGTAAAGAACTATAATAAACCCTTTCATTTAGAGAGAAATGTAAAAGTTTTTTCCTTTAGTAGCTTAAAGTCTGATAAGGAATATGATAGAGGTAATTATAGTACGCAGATACATTTAAATATTTGTGTCATTCAGACAACAAAAAATTAAGAGCTCACTTCTTGCTGGATCAAGGAAGGTTATATAGGAGAGTTAGCAGTGAAGTAAAGTATGCTTTTATTTAACATATGGAAGTGTACAAGCAGAAATACAGCTTGGGTTTTGTAACCAGTTGGTTAGATACAACCTGTCTTTGTATTCTTGGTCACTGTTAATAATTGGGACTGTGTCATTGCTTCCTTTGGACTGTTCATTTGGTTATTTGAATTATTACTCAGTAGGTTGATTTTTTTTTTCCTCTTTAAATGTCAGTAGTCTTTATTTCTCAAGACTGAGTTCTGATTTCCAAGAGACTTTCTTAATATCAGAGCATACTTTGTATCCATTAGTAGTTATTGAGTACAGGAAAAATTGGATAATGATAGAGAAATTCTGTTTTTGCCATTTTAGGGGACGAACCTCTGGTAAGATTGAGTCTAACCGAGAGACTGGGGAAACGAAAATTTTCAGTAGGTGAGATAAGTTTTATGCATATCCTTTGTTTTCTGCTTGCTTGTGCATTACTTGATATCTCCTCTAAAATTCTCTTTATACGGATGCCCAGTCAATGTTGATATTGACACCCTTGTATTTCTGGCTGAAAGCATGTATAAAATCTTTTTATGTATTTAACATGTGCAAAGTCATACAAATTTAAAGTTCAGTTCTTGAATTTATTAGTGCTGTTTTATACTTAGGGGAAGTATTTTACAGTGTAACTAAATTATTGTGTAGTGACCTTAGTGTGTCTGTCTCAAGAGAGTTATTTTGAAAATCTTAACTGACTCCAGAGCTTCTTTCATAGTCTTATGTGCTTATGCATATGAAATCTTACCTGTTTTTTGTTTTGTTTTATACCATTCTTGCTGCCTGAGACATTTTAGGTAAAAAATTATGGAAATAATCTCTTAATTCAGCATATGTGTTAACTTTGTGATTTTTTTGGTTATATGTTTAAAGTATAAATAAGAGGAGACAGAAAAGTATACTCTGTATAGGGTCTTTAAAGTTTTTACAGAACCCTGCTAAGGTTTATCTTCAGTTAAGTGATCCAAAGAATAGTTTTTAAAAACTTCTGACATTTAAGTAGCCTGTATTGACCAGTGCAATGTAATAAGCCAGGAGTTAGGAATCTTGGTTTAGCTCCTGGCGCTGTCCCTGACTGGTAACTTGGGGGTAAGCACAGCATCTTTCACAATCTTAGCTTTCTTATCTGAAATTGAAGGAAATGGGGTTTTGCCCTTTGGAGTCTTGATGTCACAGGAAATTTTTTAATTTTATGGTTCTTTTGCTATATTCCTAATCATCCCAGTTGCATTTAATCACAGAATCTACCTAGATTTCAGCAGTTGGCCAGTTACAAAGAGTTTTTTAAGAATTTTTTTTCATATATTTCTAAATCTTGAATTTCAGCTTGAATCAGGGTTTATAATCCTCCATTTTTAGTCTTAGTTATTTGGTAAATGTTAAGTTTGTGCTTTCTAGCTTTTTGTCTTCCTTCTCTTTTTTCTGGTATATTTTTATTCCTTTTCTAACATTGAGTCATAAGGAAGCTAGAAGGTGAACACATCATATACATGCAGAAAACGTGCAGAATTATTTTATATTGTATTTCTTGACCTTGCTGAGAGTTGCCTTGAAATCTTCAGCTGAGTTCCCTCTGTTAGGTGGTGACAGTGATCCTCCATTAAAGCGTAGCCTTGCACAAAGGCTAGGGAAGAAAATCGAAGCTCCAGAGACGAACACTGACAAAGCACCAAAGAAAGGTACCTGTGTCCTAATACCCCTTGTGTGTGTGATCCTGATGCTTGACTGTTGTGCTGTTAACAGGTATGGGTTATCATTCTTTTTGCTCAAGTAGATTAGATGATTATCTTCTCGTGTTCGTTTCATTCAGCAAACATTTGAAGGTTTACTCTGCTAGATCCTAGGTCACTGTTGGGCATAAAACACCATCACAGTCTTCAGGAGCTTGTAGTATCATGATAGATAGGAATACTTACATGCATGTGATACATTCTGTGACAGAGACAGTGCATATGGGAGCACACAGGAAGGGCACCTGGTCTCACCACCTGTCAGGGAACGTTCCCAGAGGAAGTGATGTTGACACTTAGACCTGAAACATGGTTTATCCTGCTAAAGTTGAAGGATTAGAGGCTGAGAGTGTAATACGTACAAGGCGCAGAGCTCAAGGGACTCAATTGTGGCTAAATCAGAATTGGAAAGAAGCATAACGGGAGAGGATGAAGGGACTGACTGGTCATACAGAGTCTTTTAAGCCTAATATGGCTTAAAATACTAGAGAGTTTGGGCTTATAGTAGCAAACAAGGATCAGGGTGCCCAGATAGGCATTTTAGAACCACCACCCTGTCTAAAATATGGAGAAGAGGGTTAAGAGTGCTCTCCAGGAAGGAGTTAGCACTCCTTCCTGTAATACAGGCTAGAGGAGGTAGTGGTGTAGATTTAGCGTTCTAGAAGTTGGTATGAAGAAGTGTGGACTAATCTGAGAGAGATTTGGGAGTTAGAATGACTTTATAGTTGAAGTTTTATGTATAGAAAGAAGTAAGTGGTTGGGTTTTTATATTTTCCCCTTATATGACATGCAGTTGAAACAGTGGTGTTCAGTACTAAATAAATAAATAAATAAGGTGTTTTTTCCTTCTTGTATTTAGTTTTAACTTCTCCTGAAGATAGGAAACTTCTTCCCACGTCTTCCCTAGCGCAAGAGGCTTTGATAAATAGACCTTCTTGTTTGGTCTATATTCTTTCTTATATTCTCAGACCTGTAAACAGAAGTTGCTTTCTTTCTTTGCAATCAAATTTTCTTCCCCGTTGCCTGTTAATTACATTGAAGGCTCATAGCTAAAGAGTGTATTTCAAAAAGCAGAGTACTTTTTGATGCCAATAAGATTTCAGAATGTCATACAATATCAAAACTATTCCCCGAAATTAAGTAGTTTCTGCTTTTCAGATGTAAGGAGGTGACTTTTTTTTTTTTCTGAGCTTTCCAAAGTACTCTAGAGATTCCATGATTTTCTATAAATCTTATCTGTACTGTGAAGAAGACAAGTTTTGAAGACCTAAAGAGATTTTTCAAAAGCATTTTCCTTAGAAAACAAGTATAAATCTGATTTGTAATTTTTGAAAAAGATTTTTGATCTGTAAGAAATCTAACCTCTTTTTTTAATCTTTTTCTTTTTTTTAAACAGTCCAAGTTTCCAAGTCTCTGAAGGAGCGATTAGGCATGTCGACTGCTCCAAACAGTGAGGAAGCAGCAGGTAGGTAAACCCTAATGCCAGCTCCTGATAAGTTTTCCTTTAAGAATCTTTTTCTCCAGTTTACCTTTTGAGTTAGGTTGAAGGTTATGGGTTTTTTTGTGTATGTATGGATTTGTTTGTTTTTTAAGTAATATTTTTCTCACTGGTATGAATTCTCTTTTCGTGGTTAAAGATGGCAACATGATTTTTTTATGATAGCAGTAATAACTGGAAACTAGAAATAATCTATTCAACAAAAAGGAATTAAGATGGTTATGTGTTAAAATAGTTGCTGTCATGCAAAGTCATATTCTGAACAATAATGATATGGGAAACTTAGCCCCTTGTTTTGAATGAAGAAAGGTTATGAAAGAGCACATAGTGCTTTTGACTTAGAGCAACATAAACTTTTTTGGTGAGAGGTGGGTAATAAAGTTTATTTTCTTATTATAGAAACGTATTCCTCAGAAAATGTCCTTATGTGTGAGATGATTTCCAGTTTTATAAAAATAAAAATAAATGCCTGTCTCCTGGAGTTTGCTCAAATTCCTGTCCATTGAGTTTGATGCTGTCTAACTGTCTCAACTTCTGCCACAGTCTCCTTTTGCCTTCAGTTTTTCCCAGCATCAGGATCTTTTCTGTTGAGTCGACTCTTTGCATCAGTTGGCCAGAGTATTGGAGCTTCAGCTTCAGCATCAGTCCTTCCAATGAATATTCAGAGTTGCTTTCCTTTAGGTTTAGTTGATTTAATCTCCTTGCAGTCCAAGGGACTGTCAAAAGAGTGTTCTCCAGCACCACAGTTCTAAAACACCAATTCCTTGACTCTCAGCCTTCTTTATGGTCCATTTCTCACATCCATACATGAGTACTGGAAAAACCATAGCTTGGACTATACGGATCTTTGTCAGCCAAGCAGTCCATATAGCTTGGACTATACGAATCTTTGTCTCTGCTTTCTAATACATTGTCTAGGTTTGTAATAGGTTTCCTTCCAATGAGCAAGCGTCTTCTTTAATTTCATGGCTGCAGTCACCGTCCACAGTGATTTTGGAGCCAAAAAAATAAAATCTGTCACTAATTCCAGTTTTTCCTCTTATATTTGCAATGAAGTCATGGGACCAGATGCCGTGACCTTAGTTGTTTGAATGTTGAGTTTTAAGCCAACTTTCTCACTCTCCTCCTCCACCCTCATCTTTAGTTCCTTATCACTGTCTGCTATTGGAGTGTATCATCTGTATATCTGAAGCCTCAGATACTGATATTTCTCCTAGCAGTCTTGATTCTAGCTGGTGATTCTTCCTACTTTGGGAGTTTTCTATTTCTTCCTGTTATGCTGGGACTTTGGTATGATAGATTTAAACATGTATCTTTTCATTATGCTTAGTGTTCACTGGGAGTTCTGAATCTTTAAGGATTTAACTTTCTTAATTGTAGAACATATTCCTCTAACTTCTCTCAGTATGTCCTCTCCACCCTTTTATGTTTTCTCTTTATGAAATTCTTACTAGATGTGGGAACTTTCGGACATATACTCCACATGTCTTAACCTTGCCTTCATGCTTTCCGTTCCTTTGCTTTTTGCCTCACATTCTGTTATTTTTGCTTGGCTGTTTTCTGGATTAAGAATTGACGTACTTTTTCTGTGAAGGATTCAGTTCAGTTCAGTTGCTCAGTCGTGTCCGACTCTTCGTGACCCCATGAACCGCAGCTTGCCAGGCCTCCCTGTCATTCACCAACTCCCGGAGTTCACCCGAACCCATGTCCATCGAGTCAGTGATGCCAACCAACCATCTCATTCTCTGTCGTCCCCTTCTGCCTCAATCTTTCCCAGCATCAGGGTGTTTTCAAATGAGCCAGCTTTTCGCATCAGGTGGCCAAAGTATTGGAGTTTCCGCTTCAACATCAGTCCTTCCAATGAACACCCAGGACTGATCTCCTTTAGGATGGACTGGTTGGATCTCCTTGCAGTCCAAGGGACTCTCAAGAGTCTTCTCCAACACCGTAGTTCAAAAGCATCAATTCTTCAGCGCTCAGCTTTCTTGACAGTCCAACTCTCACCTGCATACATGACCACTGGAAAAACCATAGCCTTGACTAGACGGACCTTTGTTGGCAAAGTAATGTCTGCTTTTTAATATGCTGTCTAGGTTGGTCATAACTTTCCTTCCAAGGAGTAAGCGTCTTTTAATTTCATGGCTGCAGTCACCATCTGCAGTGATTTTGGAGCCCAGAAAAATAAAATCAGCTGTTTCCCCATCTATTTGCCATGAAGTGATGGGACCAGATGCCGTGATCTTAGTTTTCTGAATGCTGAGCTTTAAGCCAACTTTTTCACTCTCCTCCTCCACTTTCCTCAAGAGGCCCTTTAGTTCTTCTTCACTTTCTGCCATAAGGGTGGTGTTGTCTGCATATCTGAGGTGATTGATATTTCTCCCAGCAGTCTTGATTCCAGCTTGTGCTTCCTCCAGCCTAGCATTTTTCATGATGTACTGTGCATATAAATTAAATAAGCAGGGTGACAATATACAGCCTTGACATACTCCTTTTCCTATTTGGAACCAGTTTGTTGTTCCATGTCCAGTTCTAACTGTTGCTTCCTGACCTACATACAGGTTCTCAAGAGGCAGGTCATGTGGTCTGGTATTCCCATCTCTTTCAGAATTTTCCACAGTTTATTGTGATCCAAACAGTCAGAAGCTTTGGCATAGTGAATAAAGCAGAAATAGATGTTTTTCTGGAACTCTCTTGCTTTTTCAATGATCCAGCAGATGTTGGCAATTTGATCTCTGGTTCCTCTGCCTTTTCTAAAACCAGCTTGAACATTTGGAAGTTCATGGTTCATGTATTGCTGAAGCCTGGCTTGGAGAATTTTGAGCATTATTTTACTAGCGTGTGAGATGAGTGCAATTGTGTGGTAGTTTGAGCATTCTTTGGGATTGCCTTTCTTTGGGATTGGAATGAAAACTGACCTTTTCCAGTCCTGTGGCCACTGCTGAGTTTTCCAAATTTGCTGGCATATTGAGTGCAGCACTTTCACAGTGTCATCTTTCAGGATTTGAAATAGCTCAACTGGAATTCCATCACCTCCACTAGCTTTGTTCGTAGTGATGCTTCCTAATGCCCACTTGACTTCACATTCCAGGATGTCTGGCTCTAGGTGAGTGAGCACACCATCGTGTGAAGGATTGGATGGTGAATATTTTAGACTTGAGGTCCACACTCTCTCTTGCTGCAACTACTCTTCCACTAGTGTGAAAGTAGCCATTTGCAGTATATAAATAAATCAGTGTGGCTGTGTTCCAGTAAAGCTTTATTTATGAAATATAGATCATGACCAGATTTGTTTGCTGACCCTGTTCTAGATGGCTGATTTTCTACTGGCCTTGCAGTATTGTTTTTTTGTTGTTGGTTTTTTTTTTGGTTAGATTTATTTTGTCACTTGGATTTTTATTTTTCAATAACTTTTCTTACTTAGTTCTCTGATTTGTCCTTTTCCATAGCTTGATATCTCACATTTCTAAAGTTTTTTTTTTTTTAATTTGTTGAAGTATACTCGATTTACAATGTTGCATTAATTTCTGCTATACAGCAAAGTGATTTAGTTACACATATATACATATCGTTTTTCATATTCTGTTCCATTGTGGTTTATCGCAGCATATTGAATATAGTTTCCTGTGCTACATGTTAGGAAGCACTTTGTTATTTATCCATTCCATGTGTAATAGTTTGCATCTCCTAATTCCAAACTCCCAATCCATCCCTCTTCTACCCACGCCAGCACCCCCCTACCCCCTGCCCTGGCAGAGCCACAAGTCTGTTTTCTATGTCTTTGAGTCTGTTTCTGTTATGTAGATAAGTTCATTTGTGTCATATTTTAGTTGACATATGTAAGTGATAGTATATAGTATCTGTCTTTCTCTTTCTGGTATACTTCATTTATTATGATAGGTCCAGTCTCTAGGTCCATCCATGTTGCTGTACATGGTGGTACTTAATTCTTTGTTATGACCAAGTAGTCCTCATGGTAGCTGTGTATCACATCTTTATCCATTCATCTGTCAGTGGACATTTAAGTTGCTTCCATGTCTTGGCTATTGTAAGTAGTGCTGCAATGAATATTGAGGTGCCTTAACGTTTTTGAATTCAGCTTTCTTCATATATATGCCCAGGAGTGAGATTTCAGGATTATGTGACAACTCTGTTTTTAGTTTTTTTGAGGAAGCTTCATACTGTTTTCCATAGTGGCTGCAGCAGTTTACATTCCCACCAACAGTGTAGGAGGGTTCCCTTTTCTCCACACCCTCTCCAGCATTTGTTATTTGTCAACTTTTTGATGATGGCCATTCTGACCAGTGTGAGGTGTAGTACCTTACTTTAGTTTTGATTTGCTGTTCTCTAATAATTATTGATGTTGAGCATCTTTTCATATGCCTGTTGGTCAGCTATCTGTATATGTTCTTTGGAGAAATGTCTATTTAGGTCTTCTGCCCATTTTTCTATTGGGTTGTTTGTTTATCATTGAGTTGTATGAGCTATTTATATATTTTGGAAATTAAGCCCTTGCTGATTGCATTATTTGCACATATTTTTCTCTCAGGCTGTAGGTTGTCTTTTTGTTTATGGTTTCCTTTGCTATACAAATGCTTGTAAGTTTGGTTAGGTCCCATTTGGTGGTTTTGTTTTTGTTTGCTTTTATTTCTTTTGTTTTGGGAGACCAACCTAGGAAAACTGGTACAATTTTATGTCAGAGAATGTTTCGCCAGTGTTCTTTTCTAAGAGTTTTATGGTGTCATGTCTTATATTAATAAACCTTTAAGCCATTTTGAGTTTTTCTTCTTTTTTTTTTTTTAGTTTTTCTTTGTATGTGGTATGTGAGTGTGTTCTGACTTCATTGATTTGTGAGCAGCTGTCCAACTTTCCCAGCACCGCTTGCTGAAGAGACTGTATTTTCTCCATTGTATATTCTTGCCTCCTTTGTCAAAGATTAGTTGACTGTAGGTATGTGGATTTATTTCTGAGCATCTATTCTGTTTTATTGATGGGGGTTTCTAATTTGACTCTTTTCTTTTAATGAGTGTATGTGTTATTTTGTCTTCATTGTTTATCTTCATTCTGGGTGGTGGTTTTTTTTTTTTTTGGTTCATTTTTAATGTTGCTTTTTCACAGTTTAGGTTTAGGTTTCTTCTGTGATTCTAAAGGTCTTTCCTGGCTGGGAGACCTATCTGTATAAGTGAGAGAGGGTACACCAAGTGGTGTCTTCTGTTGGTTATAGGCTAGAAGGCTGAGGGCTCATGTAATTGCTACAGAAAAAAGCCTTCGTTTATTTTCAGAGTGCAACTGACTGTTTTCTAGCTTTGCTTTTTCCTTTTCTCCCTCATCTCTCCTTTTTTTGCTTGGCATTTGGGAAAGCCTGAAATTTCCATGTTTTACTTCACTTCTACCCAACATTGTTATAATGTGCTTCCTTTCCCTATGGAGTCTTCTCTTTTTAGAGAGCAGTTCTTAGGAGAAGGTCTCCATTGACCCAACTGTTCTGTAAATCATCCTTTATTTCTACCACTGTTAGTTTTCATACTAGTTTGGCAGATTTTTTTGTCTCTTTGAGAAAGAACAGATCTTACTCCTATACTTTTTATCTATTCTTCTGTTTCTGTAATTTCAGACATCTTTGTGTCTCAGATTTGTCAAGATTTATGTTCTGCCACTGGCATCCTTGTTTTCTATTGCTATTGTGGATTTATTCTTTTAATGTCTTCTCTGTTGTTTTGATGAAATTTTGGAGTGTAGGGAAATGGGGTCTTTGTGTCACCATTCATGTACTTTTCTTAAAGTGATAATTTTGAGATCAGATTACCATCTCGAAATTGAAGAATTTTTATTTAAAAAAACTTTAGAAATATCAGTGAATGGGTGCTTCCCCTGTAATAGGTTCTATACTAAAACAAATATAGTCACTGTTTTCACAAAGTGGAAATACAAGCAATTAATGTACTGTGTGATCAGTACTGTGATCAGAGAAACAAACCAGACTGGAGGATGTCAGGTTCTAAGCTGAGCTCACTTTAACTAGGTAGCAGAAGTGTGACCAATAGGGACTGTTCCATGCAGAAGGGACGGCTTTTCAAGGATTCAAAAGATGAGACAGACTGTGGTATGTTTAAGGTTGTAGAAGATACTTTCTGTTTTTGGTGTTTCATTAAAAGGTGTTATTTAGTGATTAAATATGTGTGTGTATAATCTCCATATTCTTATTTTTCTCACATTACTTCATTATTTCTTTCTTTAACCCCTGCCAAATATGAAATTTGCTCTTTAGTTAAACACATAAAGAATGATTAATGTATTGTGAAAAATAACTCTTCAGTGGTATGCCAATCTCTGGGCCTTTTTCATTTTTCTTATGTCTTAACCTGTTTTACCTCCTTTTCGTTCTTTAAATATCACTTAAATGTTACTTACTCTGAAAAGCTTCCCTTAACCAATCTCTATATGTTCTTGCTGTATACTTCTACATAGCATTATTTAGTTGCCTTTAACCACATGGGTTTGAACTGCATGGGTCCTCTTTTATGCAGATTTTTTTTTTCCCAGTAAGTACTTAACTACAGTACTACCTGATCTATGGTGGTTGGTTGAATCCACAGATGCAGAACCATGAATGCAGAGCCCAGTTGTAAAGTTGTATATGGGGGTTTTCAACTGCACAGGATTTGGTGCCCAGATAATCCCACCCCAATCCCTGCGTTGTTCAAGGGCCAACTGTACTTCTTTTATCAAAGCTGTTGTTATTAGCACACTTTGTTGTTGCTTGATTATTGGTTTGTTAGACTGCAGACTACATGTGTGGGCAGTTTGCGTTTTGTTTACCATTATATTTCTAGTGTAATATCTGGCAGATGTTTATATCTATCCATGGATGGAAGAACTGATTTATTCTTTTTAGTAAGCTTATAATGACAACCTTCTCCAACTAGTAAAAGGCTTTCGGGATCCTCAAGAGTAAACTTCTGAATAGAAATCCAGATCAGTCATTTTTGCCTCCTACATGTTATCCTTGAGGACCACTATCTAAAATTGAGGTTGAAACTAATGTGCTTTTGTTCATTTTAATTTCTTGCCTAAATTACACGACTCTTGTTGGACTCTGTCCTGATCCAAGAATAGAGAGATCAAAGTTGTTAAGAGATGAACTCCAAATCCAATGATTTGTTTTTCCCCCATGAAAACAGAGAAAGTTACTAAAGTTGGTGAGATCCATGTGAAGACATTAGAAGAAATTCTTCTTGAAAGAGCCAGTCAGAAACGTGGAGAATTGCAAACTAAACTCAAGACAGAAGGACCTTCAAAAGTTGATGATTCTACATCAGGAGCAAGAACCTCCTCCACCATCCGAATCAAAACGTTCTCCGAGGTCTTGGCTGAAAAGAAGCACCGGCAGCAGGAAGCAGAGAGACAGAAGGGCAAAAAGGACATGAGCTGTGTCAAGCTAAAGACTGACAGTGAGATGAAAAAAACGGTGATTTTGCCACCCGCTGCCGCCAGCAGAGGGCAGTCCGAGGAACCTGCAGGTAGGGCAAAGTCTATGCAGGACGTGCACATCAAGACGCTGGAGGAAATTAAACTGGAGAAGGCTCTCCGCGTGCAGCAGGGCCCCGAGAGCAGCACCGGCTCCCCGCCGCAGCCGGAGGCCACGCCGGCGGCAAAGCGGCTTCTCCGGATCGCCAAGAAAACAGGTGACGCGAGAATCTGATCTGTAGCCCCGTTTCCCCAGATAGTATTCCAAATGGCAGTACTCCACACAACATTCGTGGGATTTCTGTGAGAGCTTTTTCTTTACTCAGATAACTTTGAAAACCACTGGATTAAAAGAAATTATACTGGTCCAGTGGTTAGGGCTCTGTACTTCCACTGTAAGGAGACATGGGTTCCATCCCTGGTTGGGGAAGTAAGATCCTGCAAGCCACGTAGCACCCCGCTCCCCTCTCCCCCCACACACAAAAAGTGAAGCTGTTTCTTTATGGCAGTGTTACATAGAGCTTTGATATCTTAATGTGCATTTTTAATCTGTATAAGAATTGAACAAATTTTGTCTACAGTTTTATATGGCCTGTCTTATTCTTTAAAAAAAGATTTTTTTTACTTGGTTTATTTTTATTTTTAGCTGTGCTGGGTCTTCGTTGCTGCATGTGGGCTTCCTTTCGTTGTGAGCAGGGACTACGCTGGTTGTGGTGCGTGTCCTGCTGCCTGTGGTGGCCTCTCTTGTTGCAGAGCGCAGGCTCTAGGGTGCTCAGACTTAAGTAGTTGTGGCATTCAGGCTCAATAGTTATCATAAGAGCTTAGTTGTTCAGAGGCATGTGGTATCTTCCCCAGATCAGGGATTGAACCCGTATCTCCTGCGTTGGCAGGCGAATTCTTAACCGCCTTGTTAAGAGGACACCAGAGAAGCCCTTGTTGCTTTTTTGAAAAAAGTTTTATTTAACTTCATCTGTTATTAAGTTGCAGCATGAATGAAATTATTAATGGTGCGTTTAATGTGAATCTAGGTATACAAGAAGAGAAGAAGCTCCAAGAAGAAAGTGATGTTGCTTCTCAGAGCAGTGTTTCTAGAGCAGAAGCTAAAAAGGTGGGTTTATTTAGATTGATTTTATAGGTTTGTCCATGGCAGGAAAAGGTTAGATCAATGGTAAGTGTTCTTTTAAGTTTCTGTTTAACACTTCACTGATATATCAGGTTAACAGTCTTTCAGTGTGCTTGTAATTTTCCTTCAGATTTTCTATACTTTTATGTGTATCAGTATTTAATGCCCTTTTAAGTTGTTTTTGAAAAGTGTTAGTTGCTCAGTCATGTCCCACTCTGCAACCCCATGGACTGTGGGCCGCCAGGCTCCTCCATCCATGGGATTTTCAAGGCAAGAATACTGGAAACTTTCTAATTGGCCATTAATATTTTTTAAAGTAAGTTTTTCCCCTGCCTTTCAGAGTAATGCTACTTATTTGTAAAACTTGGGATTTAAGAATAAGTAACCCCTTAATTGTACAATCCAGATGTTACCACAGTTAGTTTTTGTCTGGCTGCCTCTGGTGTTAGTTGTGGCATGCAAGACCTCCATCTCGGCACGCAGGCTTTTCGTTGCAGCGAGTGGGCTTCTCTTCAGCTGTGGTGAGTGCCCACCAGGGCTCAGTAGTTTCAGCACTTGTGGTGCTCAGGCTTAGTGCCCCCTCCCCCACCCCGCATGTGGACTCCTTCCCCAGCCGGGGATTGAACCCACGTCCCCTGCATTGGATGGCAGATTCTTCTTAACCATTGGACAAGCAGGGAAGTCCCTCGGCCTCTTCTTCATATATTTACGTCTGTGAATGTGTTTAATGTCTAACTCATATTTACAACATAATTGAGAATTCTACAGTGTGTCATTTTGCAGCCTACTTTACCATATTAATGATTCTTTAAGATGATAGCTTTTACTGGTCATTTAGGCAATGGCACCCCACTCCAGTACTCTTGCCTGGAAAATCCCATGGACGGAGCAGCCTGGTAGGCTGAAGTCCATGGGGTCACTAGGAGTCAGACACAACTGAGCGACTTCACTTTCACTTTTCACTTTTCATGCATTGGAGACGGAAATGGCAACCCACCCCAGTGTTCTTGCCTGGAGAATCCCAGGGATGGGGGAGCCTGTGGGCTGCCATCTATGGGGTCGCACCAAGTCGGACACGACTGAAGTGACTTAGCAGCAGCAGCAGCTGTGTCCTCTTTCACAAATATAGTCTGTTTCTGAACTAGATTTTGTTTTACACAATTAAGATGGTGAACATCTTTGTACAGAATCTTTGTGCAAGTGTCTGATTAGGAAACATTTTATATTAGACTTACAGTCAGGATCATCTACCTGTAGAATGTGGGTTTTTATTGTTCCACACATCTTCAATCTTTTATCTTGAGTTTTCTATTTAATAGGGGGCTTCCCTGGTGGCTCAGACAGTAAAGAATCCACCTGCATTGTGGGAGACCTGGGTGCACTTCCTGGGTCAGGAAGATCCCCTGGAGAACAAAATGGCTACCCACTTTGGTCTTCTTGCTTGGAGAGTTCCATGGACAGTACAGTCCATGGGGTTGCAAAGAGTAGGACATGACTGAGCAACTAGCACTTTCACTTTCACTTCTGTTTAATATAAAATAAAAAGCAAAAGCTCTTGTATTGTGGATCATATCTAAAAACTGCTTGACTTAGATGTTAGCCTGTTAACTTATAAATAATAATTATCATACAGATTGTTAGAGGTACTAGATTTTTAATTCTGTCATTTAAATTTATCCACAGGCTTCAGATGAGACCACAACAGTTGGCATGACTAAAATTCAAGTCAAGAGATGTAAGACAATGAGAGAAAAGTATGTGCCGAAACTGCCAGAGAAGGGAGCCTCACAGAAGGAAAAATCAATTTTGACACCCTTTCGGGGAGATTTACTCTCTTACACTACCGAGTTAGCAGAGAAACCCGTGCTCACCACCGTGCTAGGCATCACACAGCACCTGACTAAACGGCTTCCTTCAAAGTCATCCCAGAAGGCAAAGGTGGAAACCTCAGGGATTGGGGACTCAATATTGAATATGAAGTGTGCAACACAGCCCTTGGAAAAGCGAAGTAAAGGTGAGTGTTTTTACTAGTGCATCTTTCTGTAGAATTTCAGAATTAGCAAGTTTCAGTGACTGCCTGGCAGTAATTGGCTTGAATTTCATTTGCCTTTGTTTACTGGTCACACAGGTGGGTAATGATATTTCTGATAAATCTGTTTTTAAAAGACAAAAAGACTAGATGAGTTCCTTTCTCACAATTTAAAATTGATCTTTATAAAGCTTTATCTAAAACTTTGCATGGTGCATTTTTTCCCTCTGGTTTTGAAGGAGAGAAACACTGGGGAAATGAAGAGCAGTAGCAAATTCAAAAGCCACTGAAATGAATTGTTTCATGAAATAAATATGTATGTGTGTGTGTGTTTATGGTTGTGTGTATTACATATTGCTGATGAGTCATCTTTAATCTGGTTTTCTTGTTTAGTTGGTTTTTAAATTATTTGTGATATTACTGTTGCTGAGAAGGAATTTTGATATTCCAAATTTTATTCTCCATGTAAAAAGGGGATTATTTTAGCTTTTAATCAGATATTTTCTGTCTTATAGCTAAACCTAAAGTGAATGTGAAGCCATCTGTGGTTAAAGTTGTCTCATCACCCAAGTTGGCCCCAAAACGTAAGGCGATGGAGGTCCACCCTTCTGTCATTGCAGCTGTGAAGCCACTCAACTCCAGCAGTGTCCTGCAGGAAAGCCCAGCCAAAAAAGCAGCTGTGGTAAGAAGTAGATCAACTCAAGGATGCTTTAGTCTGTGTGATAGGAAAGCAGGGAAGATTCTTTTTTAGCTGTCTATATTATGTGTAATATCTTCTGTCACTTCCTAAGTATTTTTTTTAGTTGTTCAGGTAATTACTATATTTTATATTTACAGCTTAGGCAGGATTTGGGTGGGGGGGGGGGCGGGTTAAGCCTAATTATAATATTTTGCTTATTTGTGCATTCTATCTTTGGATTACTGATTCTTGGATTGATTCTTGGATTCCTAGTCTTAAAGAATGGTAGCCATGATTCTAGTGAAAAAAAGTGAAAGTTGCTCTGTTGTGTCCGACACTTTGCAACCCCATGATTCTAAGAAGGCAGCAAAGAAAATGAATCTGCTCAAATTTAAAAGTCTGACTTTCCCACTGAGTTACCTTACTCTCACTTTTGTAGGCTATTGTCCCACTTCTTTCTGAGGACAAATCAGTCATTGTGCCTGAGACAGAAAAACCTAGAGACAGGTAGGTAATACCTTGCAATTCTTTTTAACCAAATTTTAGACCACTATTACCGTTTTTGTTTTCTAGAGAATAACACTGCTAGATAATTTGAAATATTTACAATTTAGCTACATCTAAGTAAATCTGTTAAACTTCAAATTAACTGCAAGAAAACCTCACATTCAGGGTTGCTGTTCTCTTTTGATGCTATTGTTTGTATTTTGCCTGTATTATTAAAAAAAATGTTTTTAAACACCTATCTGAATTCTCCTTTAAAGGATGAAACTGGTTTATCCCAAATCAGTAAAACAGTTCTTTGTGTTTTCTCAAAAACAAGTCTTCACTAAAATTCTTTGTGTACCTGGGACCAGGTGATCTGACCTGCCAACCATTCACAAAAGCGCAGTTACCTAACACCCTTCTGGGTTTTTCCTTATAGTTTTCTACCGCCTCCAGCCCAGTCCTCTGCAGAGCCCCCCACCCCGGAAGCATCTGGCCCTTCCTCGTCCCAGATGGCCACAAAAACGCGCCGACTCAGCTCTGCCTCAACGGGAAAGCCCCCGCTTTCTATGGAGGATGATTTTGAGAAACTGATATGGGAGATTTCAGGAGGCAAATTAGAAGCTGAGATTGACCTGGATCCTGGGAAGGATGAAGATGACCTTCTGCTTGAGCTATCAGAAATGATTGATAGCTGAAGATGGTAGTAGAACATTTAAAGCAGAACAGACAAACAAACAAACTCACCAAAAAACTGGACTTAGTTTCATCTGTTATAACATTTATCTAAAATGATGATTTCTGTAGTCTAGAATTTGCCCCAGATCAGAAGTGTACCTCTGAATTATCCACATGTGTCCTGGATTCCTTGGGGTCAGATTTTTAAATCCCTTGGTAATCATTTTGTCTATTTGATGCCATTGTTCAGCATCTTCGAGAAAAAAGTTCTGTCTTACCCCTCTCCACAAAAAGGCTGAGTGGGAGACCTAAGTGAAAAGGTGCAAGAAAACTTAGTGACTCCTTGAGGTATTTGTCAGTTTTTACCTCTTTTTTCCCTTTATTGTATAATTTCTTTTATCTATTGTCTTAATGTACCTGTTGTTAACCTGAGTTTGAAAAGGGTGAAGATGGCTGCTACCATTAAGGACCAAATTTCATGCCACCACTAAAAAAAATCCACTCAGTCTGTGTTAAATTGTATGTCTTTTTAAAGGTATTTGGAGAATTCAACTAAGCTTTTAGAAACAGCTGAGCAGCTCAGGAAACCTGTAATCTGGACATAACTTTTTGGACCTGATTTTCATGCTTCTGCTCTGTAAGCCTCTGAAGGGCAATAGCTAATTTATTATTACTGTAATTTTTCAAGGCTTTAAAGTGCCTCAGGGGTCCTCTGAAACTAATTTTCTATTTCTGGGATTCCCTGGATTCTTAAAAAGAGATGGTGACATAATGATTACAGGAATTTTTTTTTTAGCAACAAAGTTGTCCCTTCTCTTCTTCAGTACTTGCTTCCTTACTAGTGTTGTATTATCACAGGGATAGAAATTGGTTAATTTTTTTGATTTCTAATTCTCCTTGCAAACTCCTTTTGCCCAATATTTATTTGGTGCCCTTTACCCATATGAGGGGGAAGAACAAGCTCACTCAAGCTGCCCTTACTTATCCATGGACTACAGCAGTACCCGGAATCGTACTGTAGCAGGAGTTACCAAGATGCCCTGGGGGTGTATTGTATGCCTTCCGGTTTTCTTCATTTCTGAATTGAATTTTCTTTTATTGATGTTGATCTCCTTCATATCACCTCAAGGTTTAGACTTGTGAAGGAACAAATACGATGGGGATAATAGTCTTGAAAGGAGACATATTGTACATAATCAAAAGGAAGAGGAAAGGACCTGCCCATTTTGATACTTTGCTGTAGGTGGCCAGTTTTGTTTCTCATAGGGAAATCTGACCCACCTGTCATGTTGGCTCCTAAGGAACTGCTGTTGTAAGCGGCTCATCAAGAGTTGAACCTCATGTAGCCTTGTTGGGAATATGAAAAGGAAGAAAGCCACAGGACTGCCCAATTCAGTCTTGGGAAGATCTGGATGATTCTACACAAGCAAAAATGACTTGAAATTTATGTATAGATACTTATCTACCAGTCCATCTTCAGCTGACTGAATGTTGTCTAATAGCCCTTCTCCAAAGCAGGGGTGAAATGTTCTGGTTTCACCACAGATTTTCTACTCATTTCATTTTTGGAATTGGCTTGTAGATTCCAGGTCCCTTTTGTATATAACCTTTTTTCTTTTGCTTTTTTAAAAAAACAATTTTGTTTCATATTTAAAGTCTTGTGTTAGACAGTGATTCATGTTCACCATTATTTGAACAGTTTGCCATTACAGCAAGATAAATACTTATTTGTGTTTTAAATAAAACTGGTGTAGGAACACCTTGATGTTGTGAGTTAAGTAGTCGTATATCACTTCAGGCTGAGATCTGCCTCAATAGAGGCCCAATTAGAATGTTGTTGAACCTTTGTGTACGTGATCCAGTTTCACAGATTGTATTTGTCTTTAGAAACCTTTTACAAGGACACACTGCCAAACTTCTCCATGTCAGGATTTTTTTCTGACAGTGATGCTTACCCATTATTATTCTAACTCAAGTAATCTCATTAATTCTTTTAAAGAAGAGAGGGTTTAGAAATGATCTTAGATGGCTTCAGCAATTTAGAATTTTCAAGCATGAACGCATATATGAAATTTTTAGTTCAGGGAAGTCCAGTTTTTTGTTATGGAAATACACATAAATTTGTTAACCACCAAAGAATATAGGCCTTCCCAGATGGCGCAGTGGTAAAGTATCTGCCTGCCAATCAGTTCTTGGGTTGGGAAGATCCCCTGGAGTAGGAAATCGCAACCTGCTCCAGTGTTTTTGCCTGGAAAATTGAGTGGACAGAGGAGCCTGCTGGGCCAGGGTCCGCGGCATTGCAGAGACATGACTGAGCACACACACAATATAAATTTTTCCACATAGCCTAAAAGTCGTCCCCAACAAATTGAATCAACTTTTCCCAGAAAGCAAAAGATTGCATATTCAGTTTTGAGTGATGATGATTTTCAGTTTTAACAGGAAAAAGGTCCAGATGTACAATTTGGCCATAGCCAGAGATTTCAAAATAACTTGCAGCTTGTGTGTTTGTCTCAATAAATGATCCCTCAAAGTTCTGGCCTTAACCTCAAATTCCAGTAGTCCTCTCTCATATGGCCAGAACATAATTTATGTTCCTCATGGCCAGTCTTTGGTCAGTGTTTAAATACAGTTTCAGAAATAAAGCTTGTTCTCTATACTGGTCAAAGTTTTATGATCCTTTTCTAAAATTGTGGCTTCATTTTGCCAGAATATTTCTGCAGTTCTTTAAAATATTTGCTTTGTCAGGAGCCAAGAGGAACTGTGTGGTCTTCAGTTGCTATGTAACACCACTTTAAACTAGCTAACATGTACTGAGTACTTATTATGTGCCTGTTAATTCACATATCTGTTTGACATTCATCCTATACTGCATTGGAAGATTACTGCTTTTTATCCCCACTGTAGTGTCAAAATCAGTATTTTCAGATATAACAATAAGAAAGTATATTTTTTATCTGCAATTGGGTTTGATTTGTTGAACCTTTCAAGAACTTGATTAAATCAGATCTTTGAAAGCTGCTGAATAAATATATGGAAGTATCCACAGGTTATACATCTGACTGTATTAAAAATTCTCATTGAATTTGCGAAATAAAGCTACAGCCATCAGTGCAAAAATACTTAACCATTTTCTTAACATTTTACAATAAAAGGGTCAGAGTATAAAAATGGCCCCAAATAATAGCAATTAAGAATTTATGTTTTTACCCAAATAGGCAAATAAAAGCCCAAGGTGGCTCCATTCTTTTCAGGTTAAAAAAAAAAAACACGTATTTTTTAAAATAGGAGTCACTAAGTAGGCCTATTAATAAAGTCTGGTTGGATATGACTGGGAAGGTGTTGCTACACTGGAGTCAGTGGGAATGAGCAATAAGCAGCAGGTTAAAACTCAGTTATGCCTGTTCCTAGGCTTTTTGTTCTAGATTCTGTGACCGCTTTGTCTTCAGATAGGAAGACAACAGCCTTTTAAGCCGAAGGGTAAACTCACCCAATACTGAGAGTGCAGAGCTGGAAAAATGCTCCAGTAAAAGATTATTGTAGGACTTCGCTGGTGGTCAGTGGTTGAGATTATACGCTTCTGCCGCAGCAGGCAAAAGTTTGATCCCTGGTCAGGGAACTGAGATTCTGCATGCCATGGCCAAAGAAAAAGGGACTGTTTGCTGAATAGACAAATGACTGAGATAGGGCATTGGATGGAGGAAGAGAAGTTTCAAGGGAAAAGAGAAGTTAAATAGATGGATCCCTTCCCTGGTAGGTGTATTTGTTAATGAGTTCGCTTATTTGGCTTGAGAGGTCAAGGAAGATAGTCAAGTTTAGAAAAACTGAGGAAAACATTGGCATAATTGCCACAGAAGTATTTTGGACTACCCTCCCTTGAAGAGGCTCAAATTAGAACACAAACTTACCATCATTAAACACTGCTGGCCACTAGGGACAGAATTTATGAAGCAAACCCCAGCTTTGAAATACTTTTAAGGAAAAAGTAACAGGAGTGAAAATGGGTATAAGTATTAAATGGATGATGGTATTTATAGAGGTTCCCAGGTGGTTCAGTGGTAAAGAATCCACCAGCCAATGCTAGAGATGCAAAAGATGTGGGTTCAATCTTTGATTCAGGAAGATCCCCTGGAGTAGGAAATGGCAGTATTCTTGCCTGGAAAACTCGATGAACAGAGGAGCCTGGCAGGCTACAATCCATAGGGATGCAGCGTCAGACACCACTGAGCAACTGAGCACAAAAAACATCTATAGAGAGGATAATGAGAAATTAAGAGTTCCAGAGACTGGTCAGAGGAGGTTTCCTTGCAATATTAGATCTGGAATTTTGTGTAGTTTAGTAAAGGAGAAGGAAGATGTATTTTAAATGTGAATTGGAGTCACTGCTCATAAAATCCTCACGTGCCCTCCCCTTCCCTCCAAAATTAAACTCAAGTCCCTTAGCACAGCATGCAAGGCCCTGTTGTACTAGCCTCTTCCATCATTCACCCTTCATGCTCTACACGAGCAAAACTGCTGGCTTCCTAATTTGACTACACTAATCTCACTGTTTGCCTTTGTTAATGCTATCTTCTCTTTTTCTCATCTTTTCCTCTGCAACTCCTACATACTATGCGACTTGTGGATTACCTCTCCCAATACCCCGTTCTCCCTCTTCCAGACTGGGGTCTGGTGCCTGTCTTCTAGGCCATACTTTGTTTAACCTTCATTGTTTTGAAACTACCTGTCCATCTTCCTCAGCAGAATATACACTGCGTCAGATAGAGGTTCTTACTAACCTATGTATTCTCAGCACCTAGTACCGATCCGGCACAGAGAAGGAATGCCACAGCCTGGGTGGCTTAAACAACAGAAAGGTATTTTCTCATAGTTCTGGAGGCTAGAATCCCACCATCATGGTGTTGGCTAGTTTGGTTTCTTCTGAGGCCTTTCTCTCTGGCTTGCAGATGGCCCCCTTCTCACCGTGTCCTCATATGAGGCATAGTCTTCCCTCTATGCCCATGTCTGAGGCTTTTGTTTATATTTATTTATGGCTGTGCCGGATCTTCATTGCTGAGTGTGGGCATTCTCTAGTTTCAGCAAGCAGGGACCACTCTCCAGTCATACGAGGGCTTCTTGCCGTGGCTTTTCTTGTTGCAGAGTTTTGGCTCTAGAGCCCACGGGCTTCACTATTTGGGGCACATGGTCTTAGTTGCCCCACGACATGTGGAGTCTTCCCAACCCAGGGATCAGACTTCAGTCCCCTGCACTGGCAGGTGGATTCTTAACCACTGGACCACCAGGAGAGTCCCACGTGTCTGTCTTAATCTCTGTAGAAGGGCCCACCCAGGTGTGTGTGCATATGCACTCAGTCATGTCCGACTCTGCGACCCCCTGGCTCATCTCTCCATGGAATTTTCCAGGGAAGAATATTGGAGCAATTTACCATTTCCTTCTCTGGGGGATCTTCCTGGTCCAGGGCTCAAACCCACAACTCTTGACTCTCCTGCATTGGTAGATGAGTTCTTTAACAGCTGAGCCACCAGGGAAGCCCACCCATATGACCTCATATACGTGAATTTCCACTTTAAGGGCCTATGTCTAAGTAGTCACTTTCTAGAGGTACTGGGTATAGCTTCACTACATGAATTTTGAGGGCCACACTTCAGGTCATAACAGAAAGCATTCAATAAATACTGCTGAATGAATGAAAAAGTTCTTGACCCATTTCAGGGGTTATTGATCTTTGCTAGACTGCCCCTATCTCTTCCCAACCCCCTTCTTTGTCATGCTTCATTCAGCAAGCTGTGAGTCTTCTAGTTGAGATGCAGGAACTTTAAAGTGACAGAAAGGATATTCTTCAGTATGTCTCTGTGGGCCAGCTGATTTTCAGATACCTGAAAACTTCAGATTTTACAAGAACATCATGACTAGTTGGAACACACAAAAGGAAACAAATGTGCCATAGTACTTTTCACTGATAAGTTCATTGAACCAGTAATAGATTCATTCACAAGTTTCAAAATTCAAAATGTATATAAGGGTAAACAGCAAAAGTCCTCCCTGCTCCTGCCCCAGCTCCCTGCTTCTCCAAGACCAGTTCTGTTTCTCAGGTATTCTAGAGAGATTTTAGGTTCATATAAGCAAATATATTTCTAATATTACATATAAAACATATCACCTTGCTTTTTATTATATCATGAACAGTCTTAAATTATGAACTACAAATTGATGACAAATCCTGTTTCACCTATACCCATACCAGCTATCCACCCCCTGTTCTGGACCCCAGGACTAAGGCCAGAGTTAGGTGAGCAACGAGGGGATAATTTAAGGGACCGCTCACTCTCAGAGTTGTACTTGCACATGCAAGTGTGATGACTTAAATTTTGCTCCTTAGGCTTGCTCCATCGGAGATCCAGCTTTGCTGGCTCTGCTTAATTATTTTGAAGTAAACCTCAGATACATCATAGCTTAATTTTTCTCTTACTGTATATTAGATATCTTTTCATATGAGGACACAAAGATCTTCAATTTTTACTATAATTGCATACATAGTATTACACTATATGAACATGCAATAATTGAGCTAATTCCTATTGATAGACATTTAGGTTGTTTCCCATCTTGGTATTTTAAACAATGCTGTAATGATTATATCACATATGTAAGTTTATTTGTATGATTAAATATCTAGAGGTGGAGCTTAATAATTTATATTACCACCACTTTTTGATCTTTGCCAGCCTAGTCCAGGAAAATGACTTCTTGGTAGTTTAGTTTGCATTTTTTTATAATGAGTGAAGTTGAACCTTTTTTCATATATTTGAAGAAATTTGTATTTCCTTTGTTAAAATTTCCAATTTTTATTTTGGGTCTTTGTGTCAGATTAGAAATGACTGTAAATTCTTTAACACACTTCTTTAAAGTGGGCTTTAGGGACTTCCCTGGTGGTCCAGTGGCCAAGACTCCCAGCTGCCAATGCAGGGGGCCCGGGTTCAATCCCGGGTCAGGGAACTAGATCCCGCATGCCACAGCTAAGACTGGCACAGCCACAAAAAAAAAAGAGAGAGAGAGATGGGCTCTGTTTTTCTAGCCCTTGAATCTGGCCTGGGGGGTGAACATTATACTAGTTCTCCACCTGGCCTTTCAGGGTACTGTTAGCTTCAGTCTTGGCTTCTTAGAGCCTTGAGCCCCCATATAATAAAGCATACTCCATGGCCAGAGAAATCATGTGGTGAGGCCCTGAGGCTACATAGACATGGAGGCTGATTCAGGTGGGGCCAGCCTTCCAAATACATATGCCAAATCCTTAGATACAGCTTCTGAAAGCAGAAAAAGCACCCAGCTGAGCCCTGTCCAAACTCTTGACCCACTAAGGTCACAAATTAAAAAGAAAAAAAAGGGCTGTTTTAAGCCATTAACCTTTGTAATGTTTCTTACACAGTAATTTTTTTTTATGTATTAGTAAAATTACCCATTTGTTTGATGCAGTACAAACATACTTTTCCCAGATCTTCTCATTTTGCTTATTTTGATGGCTTTTTATTCATGGAAAACTATATAATTTTTATATCATTGAATGTATTACTTTTCAAAACTAACTAGAGCATACAAATGAGTAAAATACAAATTTTCAGAACAAGAGAGATGAACTATCTATGATTAAAGTAGATGAATTACAAAGAAATTTAAAGAAAACTAATGCCTGTGTACTCAGTCGTATCCAACTCTCTGCAACCCCATGGACTAGCCCGCTAGCGTGCCTCTGTCCATGGGATTTTTCAGGCAAGAAAACTGGAGGGGGTTGCCATTTCCTCCTCCAGGGAATCTTCCCCACTCAAGGATTGAATCTGAACCTCCTGCATTGCAGGCAGATTCCAGGGAAACAAAGAAAACTAAAAATTTCTCAAAGACTCAAAATTTGAACAATTCATCGTGTACTTAGATTTAAAAAAATTAATTCTAAGTTCTAGGTTTAATGTATAATCACAGTAAAATTACCAATAGGATCCTACTTTTTAAAATTACGTAAGTTTATTCTGAAGTTTTAAAAACAAAAATAACTAGGAAAAT